TTTTTTGCTTATGTGGTGCTGAGGAATCGAACCCAGGGCCTCATGCATGCAAGGCAAGCACTCTACCACTGAACCACCTTCCCAGCCCTGAAGACAATTTCTTCATATTTTAAAATATTTATTCAAGTGGGTTTTAGATTTTAAATTTCTGATACATAAAACCAAACTCTATGTTTTCAAGAGGATTTTTAATGTATCTTTTTCAGCTGCTAAACTGTATATTTATCCTGCCTTTTTAATATAAGTTGATGCCACTGGTACAAATTATTTATGAACTTACTTTTTAGTGATTTAAATAAACAAATTGCTTTAAAAAATAAGCCAATTGGATGGATGGTAAATGATTGATGATCAATGAAAGCGAGATACAGCTGAATGACAGATGATATATGCACACATAACATACTCATGTACATGTGTATATATACATACAACACATATACGCATACATGCACACATACCACTTTGGGACACAATACAAAGCCTCTAAAAGGTCCAGGCGTGTATGTAGTCCTCATCTCAGGAAATCTTAGCTGCCTTGGAATCAGAAGGCAAACTGAAGGCTGTTCCCTGGGTCACAAAGGATTGCAGGGGCTTGCTTAGAAGTCATGTTCCCCAGCATACAAGATACAATTCAGAACAGAAATCACAAGACTACCGAAACGGCGCTACCAAGTGTGGTCCGTTCAGAGGATGGTGGGCTGGCTTCTGGAACAAGCTACATCACACTGGGATGCTTTTTGCTTTTGTGCCAGTCTTAGGGCTTGAACTCAGGGTCTGGGTGCTGTCCTTGAGCTCTGTGCTCAAGGCTAGTGCTCTACCTCTTGAGCCAGAGCTCCATTTCCTGCTTTTTGATGAGTTTTCCTGAGATTCTTAAAGCAAGCCAGCCAGAAAACTGGTTATACAAAGCATGGTCCATCCCGAGGACTCTAAGCTGGCTTCTCGTACGAGCTCTAAGGTGCTGTCAGCTGAGATGCTTAAAGACAAAGCAGCTCTCTGATGGTGAGGGGTACCACAAAGCCTCTACAGTGCTTTGAAGGAGTCAGATGACCATCCTGTACAGCTGGCTGCAGAGGGCCATTCAGCAGGACCCGCCCACCCTGCGACACCCAAGGTCCTCACACACAACGCCTCTCGGGGTGAGTCCCTGTTGGCACAGAACATGCCCCTAGGCACTGTCCTGGGGGTTTAGCCCTGAAATTGCAGCCAGGGAGACACACAGAATCCTCCTGCTGAGCTGGGTGGACACCAGGTCTACTACCCTCTCTGTGCCTGAGGCAGGGTCAGCGTCTCTGTCTCTTCCCAGGAAACCCTGGAGCCTGGGCTGGTCATCGGCCCGGCGGCTCAGGCCTCCCTCACCATCCTCACCTGAGTGCTGCAGGGACCCAACCTGGCCCTCGGCCACCAGCAGCACGGGGCCTGGGCCTGGGGGAGGGGCTGCAGGCCAGGAGTGTAGGGACTCAGGGGCCCTTCTGTCTAAGAGGTCCCCTGACCCATGCTGGTCCTCGGCACCTTCAAAAGACTGTACCCCTTTCTTGGACTGGCCCACATTTCCCAAGGCCCTGTCCAGGGTTGAACCAGCATTGAGTCCCAAGTCCGGAACAGAAAGCTGGGGCTCACGCTGGGTGCTAGATCGCATGCCTGTGAGCTGGGGCTCCCCCTCGGGGTTAGCCACCAATGGCCTTGCCAGACCCTCCCTCCCCCCACAAGCCATCCGGAACGCTGTCGGGGACTTCGCTGGTGGCCTTGGGACCCCCCCACAGATACTGCCTCTATCCTCGCTCAAAGGAGGTGTGGGCCAGTGCACGGGCTCAGACCCCTGGCTGTGGGCAGCTGTTAGGGAGCCAGACCCGCTCAGTTGACCACCAAGGCAGAACTCAGCTTCCTGGGGCCCCAAGGCCAGGGCCTCCTCCAGAGCCTCCTGGGAGGCGGAGGAGGGCAAGCCGTCCGCGGCGCTGTCGCTGTCCTCCTCCAGGTCAGCCAGGGAGCTGGGAAACGTGGCCTCCTCTGGCGGGGAGGGGAAGTCTGAGCTGATGGTCCCCTCCACGTCACTCTTTGCTGCGGGGCTGGGAGGCAGCGCAGGGATGTGGGCGGAGGACGGGAGGTCCCCGCTGCTGTAGGACAGCTGCTCATCCACAGGAGACAGGATCTCACGCAGGAAGCCACTGGCACCCGGGGCACCGGCTTTCTCCAGGACAAGGGGGCCACCGCTGCCCCCCCACCCAGGTGCCTGGACTGTTGGGGTGGCCTCAGGAGGGGCCAGTAGAGTTGTGGGGACCTGGGGCTCAGGCAAGGCCCCGAGGGGCGTCCTCTCAGTGGGCAGGCACAGGCCAGCATGCAGGAACCCCTTGCTGTGGCCAAGGGAGGCCTGGGGAAGGGTGGCCTCCGCCCCAAGGCCTCCCTCCCCTTGCCATGTGGAGGTCCCCGAGGGACACGACCGTGACAGCTCTAGGTCACTGGTGGAAGGGGGCTGGGCCTCAGGGCTTGCCTGCTTGGTTTTCTCCATATGCGATCTACTGGTCAGGCTCTTGCTGGTTCTGGAAGCTTCCTGTCCACCCCCAGGGCCTGGGGAGGAGCAAGCCACATAGGGCTCTCCACTGTTTTCAGGGCTGGAGGGGCCGTCTGTGGGATGGGGGCTTCCTGATGCCAGCTCAGTCCCAGGGCTGGGTCCTGCTGGCTTCCCGTCACTGTCCGCCTCCCAGATCCTGCTGGAGGCCTCCGACAGCTCTGACCCCGACCTTGGGGAGGGGCTCTTTGGGGAAGGTGAAGGCCGGCCTGCACGGAGGAGGCGGCACTCAGGCCCTGGACTTTCTGCCTCAGCCGCTTCCTCGGCGGAGCTGCTGGGGGACTCGACGCCCCTGCCCTCGGCCCTCTGCCAGGACACCTGTCCCTTGTCTCCAGGAGCAGCACCTGGAGGAGGATGCTCCTGGTGGAGACCACAGGACAAAGGCCAGCCAAACTCCTGGGAGTCCAGAGCAAAGAACTCTCCAGAGCCACTGGAGCCTGCGCCTGGGCTGACCTCAGCCTCCACGCTGGCCGGAGAGGGGGAGCTGTCAGAAAGCTGGACCCGGGTGGCTGTGACCTTCTCAAACTCCTGGAGAGACGAACAGCTCAGGCTACTGGCAGAACCCACAGAGGAGGAGGGAGACGGCAGATCCAAGGCGGCAGCAAGCTCGGGCAGGAGGCTGCCTGGGCCCGGGGCAGCGGGTGGCGCCTCCTCTTCTGAGGCTGCAGGAGCTGCAGACACAGGGCAGTTCGGGGCATTGCTGGTACACCTGGCGCTGCAGACCCCACCCCTCAAGCAGCCTCCGGCCCTCCTGCCAACAGAGGCAGGAGGAGGGCAGAGACACTAGTGCAGTTGGCCTCTGACTCCAGCCAGTGGGTGGCTCTCCCAGAATGGGGCTGTGGCCTTCGCCTCCCACCTGGCGCCCAGAGGTAGGAAGGCTGGCCTATGTCCTGCCTCTGACTTAGCAACGGCCTGGAATGACCCTTAAATGGGGATATGACAGTCGCCGAGTGAGCCCTGGAAGGCCCGGAGCAGTGAGCGCATCACCTGGGCAGGCAGCGGGCGGGGTGGCTTCCCCGCAGAAGGAAGGGGTGCTGGGGTCTTCCTGCTGCCAGGCCTCCACCCTGCAAGCACAGAGGTAGACACCGTGTGAGGGGCACCGTGTAAGGGAGCCTGCCCCCAGCCACACACCAGGGCTCTCGGTCAGGAACCGCAGGGCATCTACGACCTCACACGGCCCTGCCCATCACCCGTGCCATCTGGCTGACCAGCAGCACACAGGCCCAGAGCTGCTGCCTTTGGTAGGTGTCTGACCTCAGGGCCCCTTCCAGGGTCCCTCCTCTTCCCCTTCTCCCTTCCCCCTCCCCTCCGTTACACCCCCCCTCCCTGGTCTGGTACAGATGGGGACAGTCCCTCCCAGCGGGATCAGGAGGCGGTGCTCCATGGTAGGGTGCCCCCCACACACACCTTGGGTCGACTCACTGGGCAATACCATTGTTTGCAAACTGGGGCAGGAGGGTGTCAAACTCAGGAAGCAGGGTACACAAGGGGCCCAGACAAGGGAGGGAAGGGTCTCAGCAGGGAGGGGTGGGGGGGTCTCGTGCCTCAGGCCCCACCCTTCCAGGTCCCACACCTCTGCTTCCCTGACTGCCAGCTCTGTCTTTCCTGGCTGTCCCCCTGAGGGCTTCTGGCAACATCCACCTCTTCAGCCACCTGCTGGAAACACGGAATTAAGATGACACATGGGGTGGGCTGCTGCGGGGCTGCCCATGCCCTCAGCCGGGCGTCGCACCCCGGTGCCTCCCAGGACCGACACGGAGGAGCAGAGACCATCTCCTGCTGGGTGCTGGAGGCTCACCAGGGAATCCTAGCTATTCAGGAGGCTGAGGTCTAGAGGATCACAGCCAGCATGGAAAGTCTGGGAGACTCTACCTCCAATCACCAGCAAAAAATCCCTGAAGTGGAGGTATGGCTCAAGTGGTAGAATGACAGCCTTGAGCCAACACACACATACATAATCGCCCGAAATAGAGCTGTGGGCTGTGTACATAGCCCTCTGCAGATCCTCCTCCACCACAGAAAAGACCATCTCTGTCCAGGTGTTGAACCCAGGTGAAGCCCAAAGAACCACTTGAGCCCCAGGGAGGGTCCTCAGGGACCCCCTGCCACTGCAGTGGACTCACAATGGCTTCCTGGGGGCCATGAGGTCCCTCTCTGCTCTGTCCATGGAAGCCTCTAGCATAGCCATCCGCTGAGGAGGGGCGGGGCTTGGTGGCGGGGTCTCCTGCGAGGCAAAGGGGCTGTCAACGCTGGGCTGGCCGACACAGACAAAGGCCGGAGGCCCAGGAAGCAGCCTTCGGGAACTCCAGAGCTACCTGGAAGAAGTCTGAGGATTCAAAATGGACACAAGACTTGCTTGGCACACGGTTAGTTTGGGGAGGTAAAGCACGTGGTTATCTGTTCCTAAGATGACTGTGTTGGATGGTGAGAGGAAGACCCTGGAAGAAGCGCCTAAGAAAATCACCTTCAACATGAAGACCCACATCTCTAATCTGGGGACCCTCTTGCAGGTGGCGGAACTCTCGCTGGACCCGCCTCTTTCCCTGTCCTTTCCTGACTGACCACTTCAGACACAGCTGGAGGACCTGGTAGACCAGGAAGGGGCAGATCAGATATAGCCAGGTCACCCACAGCACAGCTAGGGTGTCCCCACCGCAAAGCAGAAACAAAGAGGCCACAGAGCCTCCTCGTGGTACACTACCACCCCACATCTGAGCTCCTGGCTGGGGGCTGGGACCCGAGCCCCAAGGCCACCAGAGCTCCATGCTAAAGCTCTCGTCCACATGCTGGTATTGGTGGAGGTGCCGAGGGCTCTCAGGAAGGACCAGGATGGATGTCACCATGGAGAGTCTGTAAGCACTGTCTTCTGGCCACAAAATATCCAGTGCTGGGTCAGATGACCCCTGGACAGGTCCCCTACCCGTCATTAACAAGCTCTGGGACCAGGGTCCATTGCTCCAGAGTCTCAGGTTTCAGTCAACCTCATCTACAGGGTGAGTGTCATGAGCGTGCTCACTTCAACAGTCCACAAGGGTCCGAGGGGGGTGTGGGCCCTGGCTGGTCCTCAGCACGTGATGGCCAGCACACGTGGGCATGGACAGCAAAGAGACTTCAGGCCAAACATCGGAGGACGCAGGAAGGGAGGTCACGGAAATGCGCCTGCCCACCGGGGAGCTCCTCCCAGTCCGGGCCTCCTCGGTGCAGGAGCAGGTGCTCACTCTCCCACGCTGAATGGACCGGGCTGTCTGTGGCGGCAGCCGCCTGTGCCCATCTGGGAAGCTGGCCAGTGAAAAGTGTCCTTCCTTCCTGCTGGTGAAGACTGGGGGGGCTACCGAACCCAAGGCTGGGAGCTGGGGATGGGGTCTCCACAGGGGTCTCCAAGACGGAACTATGCAGCCCTCATTTCCAGCCAGCTGCCACCGATCGGCCCCCAGAGCTATGAGCGGGGCTCCTCCATCCACTGCAGATCTGAGCCTTGGATCGCAGGGAGTGAAGTACTTGATTCCTGCAAAACCTTCCTTGTGTTAATTAAGGAAGACTCTTCCAGCAAAGCTGATTTCCAAACATTTAGAAAATGCATTCCAGATAAAGGGTGGGCATGTGGGCCATGCATGTATCCCAGCTACATGGGGTGGGGTGGGGGTGGGGGAGAGGTGTTGGGAGGATCACAGTTCCACTCAGACTGTTCCTTGGCAGTGTGTGTGGGGGGGGAGTCTGTGAGACCCACCCACCTCACTAACCCCAGCACAGGCAAATGAGTGTGGTCCCAGCTATCCAAGAAACAGAAGAGGATCGTTGTTTAAGCTGCCCCAGGCAAAAACAAGTTAAAGCAGAAACAAAAAGGCATGGTTTAACTGGTAGAGTGCCTACCTAGCCGGCAGAAGGCCCCAGTACTACTTAAAAAAATATATATACATACATATGTTCCAGATAGACCAAGTTGTGAGTAAAGCAATTCAAACGTTATAAATTTTAATTTCTCTAGATGAGCGGCCGTGTCACCTCTCACAGCAAACGGAGCCAGCCATTCTTCTGGCTGTGAAGGGGTCTGCGGTCAGGGCGGGGGGCCACCAGGGCTCAGTGTCTCCGGCTGTCCTCGGGGGCCTCCCCGTTCTTGCCTGGTGGCTGGGTACCAGACTTGGATGGGATCTTCCAGATGGTGGGGACGCTGCTGGCCAGGTCCTCACTGGGGGGGCCCATGGGCTGTCTCCAGGGGGCTTACCTGGGGGCAGGTCCTTGGCCTCCTGTGGCCTGGGCTGGGCTGGGGGACTCCCTGCTGCCTGGATGGCCTGCAGTGACAAGACAGGGAAAATATCAGGCGGCGTGCCTGGAGGGACAGTGCCAGAGCAGGGGTGAGGGGAGCAGGGTGCAGGGTGTCCGGGATCTGCAGGAAGACCAGGCTGCAGGCGGGCACGATGGGAGGTGGGCGCACTCGGGCGAGGCTAGGGGCGAGTGCTCACTGGGGGCTTGCATACGGGAAAGTCCGGGCCTGGCAGCTGTCCAACGTCCGGAGAACTTGAGTGCAGAGGGACGCGAGGCTGCTCCTCCCACGCTGGAAGACATGACCCAGAGTCACAGGCGCCAGCCAGCCTGTGGGGTCTCCAGACCTGGAGTCACCTCTGGCTGGGGAGCGTCAGTGCAGCTGTTCACTCACCCCTCCCTCTGCAGACCCCAGAGCTCCATGCACCCCAGGGTCCCACTTCTGAGGCCCCATCTGCCCCATCTGTCCTTTGTCCCTTCTGGAATGTCTTCGGATTCCCTAATCCACAGATGCCAGAGTCTTAGAGGCTTCACTCTGTGTGTGCCAGGCTGTTCTGGGGCTCTAAGACCGGGGCCAGAGGGGTCCCGTGAGCTGGGCTGTGGAGATGCCTGCAATTCACTACCCACGTGCCACGTCTATCTGCCTGCCATGGCTTCTCTAAGTCCAGCCCACTGCTGTGAGACAAGACCCTGGGGGGTGGAAGGGGAAGTAAATGGACAGCAAGGCTGGGCCGCAGGGTGGTGGTCAGTGCCTGTCAGGGCAGGGCTGGCTAAGGAATGACTCCTGAGGCTGAGCATGGGAGGCTCCCTCTTGCAGGCTTGCCTAAGGCAGACGCCCTGTCTGAATGATCCTGCAGAAGACGCGCCCACAGACCTGGGGACCGGACTTCACAGGAAAACAGATCCTGGCAGCTCCGATCACGTCGAGGATCTCTAGATGAGTTAGTTGTGGAATTAGGTTGGCTCTAAATCCACCAGCTTGGGCTCTCATTTTTATTTTTATTTTTTGGTCAGTTGTGGGGCCTGAACTCTGGGCCTGGGTGCTGTCCCTCAGCTCTTCAGCTCAAGGCTAGCACTCTACCACTTGAGCCACAGCACCACTTCCGGCTTTTTCTGCTTATGTGGTGCTGAGGAATGGAACCCAGGGCCTCATGTGTGCAAGGTAAACACTCTACCTCTGAGCCACCTTCCCAGCCCCAACTGGGCTCTTAAAAGAGGTGAGAAGCCAGGCATCAGTGGCTCACGTCTGTAATCCTAGATACTCAAGAAACTGATATCTGAGGATCATGGTTCAAAGCAGAAGTCCATGAGACTACCAAAAATCCAGAAATGATGTTATGGCTGAGGGCTAGAGCACTAGCCTTGAGCACAAAAGCTCAGAGACAGTGTCCAGGCCCTGAGTTCAAGCCCCAGGACTGGCACCAAATGATAAACGAGAATAGAAAGAAAAGAAGGCGAGGAGCTTGACAGAGTGGCTCATGCCTGTTCTCCTTAGTTACTCAAGAGGCTGAGATCTGAGAATCCCTGTTTGATGCTAGCCTGAGCAAACAGATCTCAAAGACTGAATCTCCAATTAACCAGCAAAAAAAAAGTGTGGCTCAAGTGGTACAGAGCCAGCCTTCAGCTCAAAAAGCTAAACAAGAGGTAAAGAGGTAGACACAGAGGAGCAGAGACAGCCATGGAAGGACAGAGGGACCCCTGAGCCATCAGAGCAGGCCGCGGCGGGAAGGCCCCTCTGGAGCCTCGGGGAGTGCTGGCACCTCCAGAGAGCAGGCACCCAGTTTGTGGACCTCTGTCATGCAACCTTAGGAAAGGCGCCCATCTCCCGACCCCACGCTGTCGCTGTTCGGAGGGGAGACAGGTCAGGGAGAACAGGCAGGATGGGGCCCTCAGGCTGACGTGACCACGTTCCTCACCAATTCCCCCATGGGACAGACAGCAAACCAGCCAGCCCTGTGGGCTACCTGGCAGCCTGGGCCACGTCGGTTCCTGCACTCTAACCCCGTCATGTTCCTATCTAGGTGTTCCTGGCTTCTGTCCAAGGACAGGCTGGGCCTAATCCTCCTTCTGCCTTGGCAGAAGCCGGTGCGGCCAGGTGCTGCGGTCTGGCTGGTCTGTGTGCCCGGCCCTGCCTGGCAACAGTGTCAGGCCTGCAGGTGACTGGCAGCCAGGGCCTGGCCAATCAGCTGCACCCGCCAAGAGCCTTCGCCCAGGCAGCAGAGCCTGTCTGCGTGGCTCCCAGCTGGTGCCCAGGCCCTGTTCTCAGAGGCAGTGCCTGGGAGGACTGTCTTTCTGGAAGGCCCGCTGTTCACCCAGGTGGAGACAGGGAGGCCCAGGGGTCCACACCACACAGCTGGCATGGCGGGCGGAAGGGAGGACTGTCTGATCACGCAGTGGACCCTGAGGCCCATGGACGGACGGCCCTGCCACTCCCACTACCTACCTTGGCTGGCCTGCTTGGCACTCTTCACCTGTGGGCTGCTGGCCTCGGGGGTGTCCTCCCCTCTTGGCTGTGGGTGGCCATCTGCCTCCCACGTTGTCTGGGGCGGGGTCGCCTGTTGCTCAGAGTGGGGACTACAAGGCAGGGCAGAGGGAGATGTGACTGTCCACCCAGCAGCTCTGCCCAGGGTGCCCAGTTCTGCTCACAACACCCCACGGCATCCCCCCCACCCGCCCCCATCCCCAGGAACAGGCTCAAGGCCCATATGGGGTGGCTGAAGCCAGTGGCCAAGCAGGAGACAGGGTTCTGGGCCTTTCCTGCCTGGGCGCCTCCCGGGCAGAGCCTGGGCCCCACAGAATGGCTGCTGGGGGGCTCGTGACCAGGCTCGCGGGGGCGGGGGCTGGGGAGGCACCTGCCTGTCCGCAGAGGCCCGGGCAGGTTTCTGGGTGAGATTCACTTCTCATTCTGTGGAGCAGCACTCATGTGTATAGGGTGCCCCCACCCGAGCCTGGGCCCCTGCAGGCCACACCCACGCCTGCTGCCAGGCTCTAGGCACCTCTGTTCTTCCTTCCTGAGACACAATGCCAGTGCAGCATGAGGCCACCCATCACAGCCTCCGGATGGTGGCGAGGCCCCTTCTGGGTCAAGGTCAGTGCTGAGAACCTGCCTGGACCCCAGAGCATCTCCCTGGGCAGGGAGCATGATCCTGAGGAGCTGGGCTCATGGGAGGATGGCCAGCCCGGAGATGTTTCCAAGCCCTCGAGGGTACGGCTGCGGGCTGCAGCTGGTCCACATCATTGTGTCCCAGACACAGGCTTGTTCCGGAGCCCAGGCCAGCACAGAGCTGGAGACCTGGTCCACCAGACGCCCTCCCAGCCTTCAGGACAGCCATGGGAGCAGAACGGGGTCTAGTGACACAGGAACAGGACCCCCAAGCTTTATCACCCCTGAGAAGCCTGGGTGATGGTCCTGGGTCTCTCTTTCCTTGCCTGCAGCACACACTTGGGGCACAGGGCCACAGACACCAGATCCCCGGTGTACACCCATGTCAGGACGAATGGACCCAAGTCTGCCTGTTTCTCCATGTGTGTGACCCCCAGCAGAGTGTTGGAAGCTACTTGCTCACTTGCTTGCTTGGGCTACAGGAAACCCCAAGACACTTCTGTCCTGTCCTGTCCCGTCCTCCTCTATTTTGTAACTTTGGGGCAATCCCTGTGCTTCGCTGGAATGGCAAGAAAAGCCTAGGGCCGGCCAGCCCTTCCTCCTGGCCCCACAACCACGTGTGTGCCCGCCGGCTGGCCTCCAGCTCGAGGGAGGAAGGAACCTGCCAGAATGCCCCAGCAGGTCATGCTGAAAAGCACCCTGGGAGAAGCCAGGGCAGTGGGCGGCTTCCTGAGCAGAGAGAGGTCCCACAGGGGGAAAAAAGAGCTGATGTGTGGGGGTGACCAGCCCAGGGCAGGCCCTGGGTCCCTGGGAACCCCTGCCTATGGAGAGGACACTCCTGGGGGCCCTCCATAGCTGCTTCACCCCAACATTGCTGCAGCAACCCCACAGTGGGTGCTCTGGCCCGGAAGCCTCCAAGGAGAAAGCCTGCTGCTCACACAGCCGGCCCAGAACACGCAGCGCACCGCGCCTCAGCCCTGCTGAGCCCAGTTCTCTTTCGCTGTGAAGCAAGACCAGGGGCCACGTGGCCAGGCTGTAGAAAGGGCCCAGATGCCGCTAGCCATGGAACCACCCCTGGATGTGTGCCCAGAGGCTGGGGCAGCCATGCGAATGCCATATGCTGCCCTGGGCCGGGCTGTCCAACTGTTCTGTCCCTCCACACCCCATACAATAGCCCGGGAGACTTCCGGAGGACACACTCCAGCTAGCCCAGAGCCAGTGAATTGGCTGCCCTTTTCTTTTGGGACCAGAGCAGTGCTGGGCTTCTTGGTACGAGCCGGCACCCACTGCATGCGCCTATCTCCTGGGTGGGTGGGTGGGTGGGTGGGCTCAGTTACATTGCAGCAAGCAAACACACAGAACACTTGCGATGGCAAGCACCAGGGCCACGGCCACCGGGACCCACTCACTGTGTGGCCGCTGAGCTCTGGAGGCTCCTTGGAGGCTGCTGGTCGGGCGGTGGCAGGAGGCACAGTGCCCTCTTTGGTTGCTGGCTTGTCTTGGGGCTCCCCTTCAAGACGCCCTTGACTCTGCCGCTGGGACTCTGGGGAAGAACACGGAGTGAGCCTGCAGGGGCCAAGCAGGTGCGGCCTATTTGCTTCTTTAGCCACCCCAGGGCCGCCATTAGCCTGGCCCTGCACGCTGCTTGTTGCCATGTTCCAGCAGACACCACTGGAAATGGTCATGGGCCCTGGTCGGGCTGCGTGCCCCCTGACAGGTACAGACAAGGAGCTTAGAGGGGACGTCCCTGCCCAGGGCCGGCCCAGCTCCCGGGGACTCCAGCCACGCAGCCTAGGGTCTCTCTCTTGCAGGCGGGCCTGCGGTCAAGTGCTTTCTTCTTTCTTCCTTTTTCTTTGCAGAGCTGAGTACTTACCTGGGAAGTACTCTTCCACTGAGCTAAATCCCCAACCTCAGCTATGATGATGGTGGTGTGTGTGTGTGTGTGTGTGTGTGTGTGTGTGTGTGTGTGTGTGTGCACGCATGCTAGTGCCGAGGCTCCAACTCAGGGCCTGGGTACTGTCCCTTAGCTGGTGTTCTATCGCCCGAGCCACACTTCTACTTCTGGCTTTTTTTGTGGTTAACTGGAGGTAAGAGTCTCTCAGACTTTACTGTCTGGGTTGGTGTCACACCACAATCTACAGATCTCACAAGAGTGAGCCACTGGTGCTCAGCAGGGGCAGGGGCTTTAGAGAATATAGCTCTTTCGCCTCCCTCCCTCCTTTCTTTCATTCCTCCTCTTTCTGGCAGTACTGGGTGTGAACTCAGGGCCTCACACTCTAGATGCCCCACCATTTGAGCCACTCTGTCAGCCCTTTCAGACAGGCTCTCACACTGATGCCAGGAGCCTGCCTGTACTATAATCCTATTCGTGTTCCCACAAAGCAAGATTCTGCTGCTATGACAGACATGTCCCTGAACCCAGCCATCAATCGAGATGAACTCCTGTCAACTTTTTATTTTGGGGGGGGGGCTGAGCCGGCTAGAACCATGATCCTCCCGGTCTCTGTCTCCCAAGTAACTAGGATTACAGTTTTGTGTCACCATACCCAGACAAGTCCAGTTCTTTTGATCCTCATTTTGGCTCTCAAGGTGGGGACCACCATCTCCCAGTTTACAGAGCATGCTCTGGTGCAGGGAGCACATCTTGCCTGGGAACGCCCCCTTCTCCTTGTCACACAACTCTTTCTTGGGAGGCAACTGTGGGGAGGCCAGCTCCAAGGACACAGTGTCTCCTGCTTGGCCATGTCTGGCTGTCCCAACGTGTCACAGGCCACGGCACCCCCTCTGCTCCCTCTAGAGTGAAGCCCAGCCATCCTCCAGCTGGGCCTTTGCCTTTCATCCCTTTTGCTCCAGCCCTGGCCTGGATGGAGCACCTTCCACAAAGGCTAGGCATCTGGTCCCTCCTCCAGGATACCCAGGTAGGGGACTCCTTGGGGTCACTCAGTAGGTGACCTTGTTCTGCCCTCTATGTGCGCTGCCCACCTGGGCCAGAGCCTGGAGCTCCTGCCGCAGATGGGCAACAGACCTCTGTGCTTCCAGGATGGCTTTCTGACACTGTAGGAGCTGCTTCCTGCCTTGGTGCGTGGCCAGGGAACAGTTTTTCAGGTATCGGACTTCCCTCTGAACCAGCCAGAGGAGAAATATCAGTTAGCATTATCCCCAACCTGCAGGAGCTCACATGGGAAAAAGAGAAGGGCCATGGGGCAGTGCAGAGCATGAGGGACCCCCCAGCTCTCCTTTCCCTGGCCCTCCTTTCCTCCACATGCCCTGCGCTTGGCACAAGGGGCAGGCAGGAGCAAGGTGGCGGCTGAGGGGCTCTTCTCCCAAGTGTTCTCCAGGTTTGGAGCCTGCTTCCATCGTTCCAACTCATCCCTTGATTAAGCCCTCCCATGCTCCAGGAAGGACCCTAAGGTTCAGACAGGGAACTGAGGCTGCGAGTCTACAGCCAGCAAGAGGTTGAGCCTGACTTGGAGTCGGGGCTGTAGGCCATACTCCACAGAGTGGAGCTGTCCGCCCGGCATGCATTCTCCCAGGTGACACAGGGAGGCGTGGGATGGAGGAAGATGGCTAGGACTCTGAGGGTCTTGCTGCTGCCCCCTCCCCAACAAGGGCGGCACCACTGCCTGTGTGTGGCTACCCCCAGGCCATGCCTACCCGCTCTTTCTCCAGCTTGCTGATGGCTTGCTGTTTCCTCTCGGACAGCTCAGCTGTTTTCTCCCCCTTGATCTCCAGACACCTGGAGGAGGTGGAGTGTTACTGTCCATCTGGAGTCCATCTTGAGGTGGGCATGGAGAGCCACAGATACCAGAGCCCGAGCCAGGACGCTGGAGGGCTCCGGCGCCCCCAGGCCCAGCCCAAGCTGTCCCTCTGCCCACTCGCCACTCGCTACTTTGGGGTCTAAGGGAGACAGGCCAGTGAATGGCAGTACCTCCTGCCCTGGACCTGGCCCAGGCTGGAGATCGTAGAGGTCACGGGAGCCCCCCAACCCCACGCCCCAGCCTGGGGCGCGAGCCGGGAGAGAACTTGACCGGGGCAACCCTGCACAGGCCAGTCTGCCCCCGGCGGCCTCGGATGTGTGTTCACCCACACGGAAGCTCCATGCTGAGAAGCCACGGGAAGGAAATGGCCTCTCGGATGTTAACAGTGGCAGAAACAGACACAACCACCAGGCCCCGCTACTGGAGACAAGCTGAGGGAAGGCCCCCGCCGCCACGGCGCCTGCGCGAGGTGGAGCGGGCCTCCGTCGCCAGGGCGCCTGCGCGAGGTGGGGGGGGAGGGGGGAAGGCGCCGCCAGGGCGCCTGCGCGAGGTAGAGGGGGTGGCCCGCCGCCACGGCGCCTGCGCATGGTGCACTGGCCTCGCCGCCATGGCGCCTGCAGCGGACGCGTGAGGTAGGGGACAGGCTTCTTTGACGCCTTAAACGCAAGTCACGTGAGGAGCGTGCATGCTGCAGGTCTAAGAGCCGTGTTTCGGGCCGGGTGAGCATTTCACAGGCTGACAGGACTCTGGAAAGCGTGCACAGAAGTCTGGAGAAGTCAGATTGGGAGTGGTGGGGTTTGGGTTTTTCATTCCGGGCTCTTTCCTATCTTACCTCATTCTCTCGACAGCTGCTACTGTTTGGATCAGTATATTTATATTATACGTGTGTGTGCGCGCATGCGTGTGTGCGCAGGGGGCCACCAGAAGGGGCGTGGCTGCCGGGGCGGCGCCAGACCTGCGCATGCGCTCACCCTCCCTGGTGGTCCAGCCAGGCCAGCTCGGTACGTTCCTTCTCCTCCAGCGCCAGCTCGCGCAGGCGCAGCAGCGAAGCCTGGTGCCGGGCGTGCAGCTCCTCTTCGTGCAGGCTCTGCTCCACCATGGCCACCCTGAAGCCCTTGGACACTAGAAGTAGAGGAGCTTCCATGGCAGACCACCTGCATTGCTCCGACAGAAGGGGAGACTGAGGCCCGAGGGCACACTTCCAGGTCCAGCACCAAGCAGGGGACAGAGGACGGCAGAGCCCAGATGCCCACATCTTGCTTCTGACCTCTGCTCTTTTGTAACTGCTCCACAGAAACAAAAACAACACAAAACAAAAACAAAACCCACCAAGGATTTTTGCTTTCCTCCAGGAAAGGATAATAGGGATTGGATTCGAATTCAACATCCCATCTGAAACAACTTAGAATTTTGCAGGGGCTGGGAAGGTGGCTCAGTGGTAGAGCGCTTGCCTTGCATGCATGAGGCCCTGGGTTCGATTCCTCAGCACCACATAAGCAAAAAGAAAAAAAGCCGGAAGTGGCGCCGTGGCTTAAGTGGTAGAGCGCTAACCTTGAGCTGAAGAGCTGAGGGACAGCGCCTAGGCCCAGAGTTCAGGCCCCACGACCAGACCCCCCTCCCCAAAAAAAGAATTTTACACATAGGAAAGGACATTTTCCCAGACACCCAACGGCAAACAGCTTGGCAGAGTCAACACTGATAGGCAGACACAATGGAAGTAAGACCTGTAATTGTAACATCTTAGGAGTTTCTAGGCTGTAGTGCATGGGGGTAAAACAGGTGGAGCCCCAACCCCACAGACCCCATCGTAGAAGAGGTGGAGCTGAATCTGGAGAGATGATACCAGCTTGCACCGACTGAATAGAGAATCAGAATGGATACTCTGGTTTCTCTTCAGATCGTATAAATCTTTTGCCTTTTACTAAAGAGAATCAGAATGGGTAGTACATGCCTATCATCACCGCCATGGCAGCAGATATAAACAGAGTCACAGTCCAGGCTGGCCCAGGCAAAAAGTGAGATACTGTCTCTAAAACAACGAGAGCAAAAGGGCTGTAGGTGTTGCATAAAATGGTAGAGTACCCACTTAGCAAGCACAAACCTCTGAGTTCAAACCCCAGTGTCACCAAAAGAAGAATATATGTAGAAATATATGTGTAGCAAGATAAAATTCACAGTGTCCAGTAGCTAAAACAAGAAGCAGGAAAACATCTATGAGGATAATGATCAATTTGAACCAATCCAGGCTTGACATGGTGACAGGATTAGCAAAGGCTAGTGGAAGTTTTTATAACTGCATTTCATTTCATATGCTTAGACGGGTAAATAGAGTCCTGGAGGAAAAGGATCCAGATAGAGCTCTTATGAGATGAAAACATAAACATGTGAGATGAAAACATACTGGATGGGACAAATGGCAGGTCAGACATAGCTAGCAGCAGAAAAGAGCTCAGGGCTTCAAGATTCAGAATATACTGGTTACCAGAGTTTCTGAAGGAGAAGAGAGAGAAGAGGTGAGCATATTTGAAGTAAGAGGTGGAAGTTTTCCAAATTGAAGAAAGCGGTAAAGCCACAGATCCAAGAATAAGAAACAAGAAAGAACACAGCACAGACTATTAATATTAAATTGCTCAAAATAGTAAGAAAGACCAAAAGCAGCGAGCGTGAGCAGATGCTACCGATGAACCAAGATATAGTGACAGCTGGAATACTGCAAGCCAGAAAACATTAGGGATAGGATTGTTTTGCTTTGTTTTTAAGTCATGCTAGGGATGGAACCCAGGGGTTCCTGTGTACTAGGAATACTCACGAGGGAATATTCTCCCACTGAGCCACACCCTCAGCCATGAGTGATGTCTGTAAAAGTGTACTCAGGGTGACATTGCCACAAAAGAAGTTATTCTTTACCTGACTTATGTAACTGTAAACCCTCTATATGTCATCTTTATAGTAACAATAAAATAATTAAAAATAATAATTATACTTTTAAAAAGTCCATCCAGATTAAACGATTTGCAAAGAGTATATGAAGAACAAAGTCAAAATGAGCCATGCACCGGTAGACACATCTGTTAACCTAGCCACTCAGGAGGCTGAGATCTGAGGTTTGCAATGTGAAGCCAGCCCAGGCAGAAGAGTCTGTGAGAGTTATCTCCAACTAACCAGTAAAAAGCCAGAAATACAAGTGTGACTCAAGTGATAGAGTAACAGCCATGAACAAATAAAAATTCCAAGTGAGAGGATGAGGCCCTGAGTTCAATCCCCAGTACCAACATGCACACTCCAAAAGAAGGCAAAAGAAAGAGGAAAAGACAATAAAGGAGACAAGTAGCAAATGCAAAATTCAGCCCTAAGCATAGGGACAGTCCTGATCCATGTGAATCAAAGAAGCACATCAATAGAAGGTAGAGATTGAGAAGGAAGAAGAGGGGGTGGCAGAGGGAAAGGGAAAAGGGAGGGAGGGAAAAGAAGAAAGATCCAACCAAATGCTGCCTGTAAGAAACACTTCAGATAGGAACAGGCTGAAAGGGAGAGGATATGATGAGAAAGGACTTCCTCCATGACTTTGGCTGGGCCAGGCATTAGTGGCTCACCCCTGGAATCCCAGCTGCTGTGGAGGCTGAGATTGTGGAGATCATGGTTTGGGGCCAGCCCAGGCATAAGAAAGGTACTGGAAAGCCTGAACCAGGTGATCACACCCAAGCATGTGTCCAGGCAGGAAGCAAGATGCAATCTGAAAAGTGACCAGCAAAAGTCAGGGCTAGAGGTGTGACTCAGTGGTAAGCTCACTTTGGAAGTACAAGGCCCTGAGTTCAAACCTCAATACTGGGGGTGGAGGTGGGGAGGTACTGGAGTGTTCTACAAATGTCCAAGCCGGCTTTGGAGGGAAGCACATTGCAGGGATGGGGAGGATTGCTCCTCAAGGACACAACGTGCCCTGAAGTGTTTTCGTGCTGATGGAACTAGAACTTCAAGGAGAACCGGACAAACCTGCAGTAGTAGCTGCGACAGTTCACTTCCCTGCTCAATAATGCATAGGACAGGAGGCAGAGCCCCACAGGTAGCATAGACTTAAATAATACCATTAACCAACGGGGTCCAATGAACAATATAACCACTACCGCAACACGTGTAGACCATACATTCTTTTTAAGAGCACATGGAACCATCTAGACTGAAATTCAAGTCTAGGCATAACTGGAATCATTCATACGTGCTTTAATCTGGGCACTGGTGGCTCACACCTGTCATCCTAGCTACTTAGGAGGCTGAGATCTGAGGACAGAAGTTCAAAGCCAGCCCAGGCAGGAAAGTCCATGAGACTCTTATCTCCAATAAACCACTCAGAAAACTGAAAGTGGCGCCGTGGCTCAAGTGGTAGAGCGCTTGCCTGGAGCGCCTGGGACAGCGCCCAGAGCTAGAGTTTAAGCCCCACGATTGACACCCCCCCCCAACACACACACAGCAAACGTGCTTTAAGGCACAGGTACCAAGCTCCCAGGAGTATGACATAGCTAGCCCCCCTCCCCTGGAGGCTTTTCCACGCTGCCCTTACAGCCTTCCTTTGCCCACTCACCTGCAGATGGCGCCAAGCCTGCCCTGCTCCTAGGCGTAGCCGCGGGACTCTGGGAGGATGGCCTGGCGACTCTGCCCGGGGCTGGCACTGATCTGCTGAGGGAGAAGACAGCCCAGACCAGCGCCATCATGCCAGCACCTGAGGGCTGCCCGCCTCCCCCTCCTCTGTCCCGGGAGGGGGTGGTCATCCCTCCCCTACACCTCACCTGGGTCTAGCTGTCACAGGCTTTGAGCCCCCGCAGGGCTGCGGTTCTTCCAGCGTCAAAGCCTTTCCTAGGCTGGCCTGGGCTGAATGTCTTTGCATCAGCTCCTGTGAGGATGAGGAGGCAGGTGCTGCCCAGGGCGGGGGAGGCCACGCCAGCTTCCGGGAGGAGCCTGTGAGCCCGTTGGCGGCTAGCGTTCAGCCCCAGGGACCGGCATGCCCAGTGGGCAAGGCAAGACCAGTGCACCAAGAGGCGTGTGGTGGGCTGAGGGCGGGAGGGGGCGGGTGTGGTGGGCTGAGGGCGGGAGGGGGCGGGTGTGGAACGTGGACATCCGCATCCGGACAGCAGCTGCAGGACAGTAGTGTGGTGCTCAAATCCGCAGCAGGAAGAAGAGGAGCAAGAGTGTGTGATGGGAGAAGACAGGACAGAGAGACGGAGGCTGGTCACAGGTCTCTGCTTTTCTGGTCTGAGCATCCTTACACACACACACACACACACACACACACACACACACACACACACTCTCCCTGTGGTATCATACTGTCTTGGAAACACCTCCTAAAGCGAGCTGGGAAGGTGGCTTAGTAGAGTGCTCGCCTAGCATGCATGAAGCCCTGGGTTTGATTCCTCAGTACCACATACACAGAAAAAGCCATGGCCTGGCACTGGTGGCTCACGCCTGTCAACATAGCGACTCAGGAGGCTGAGATCTAAGGATTGTGGTTCAAAGCCAGCCTGGGCAGGAAAGTCACTGAGCTCTTATCTCCAGTTAACCAACAGAAAACTGGGAGTGGTGCTGTGGTTCAAGTGGTAGAGCACTTGCCTTGAGCTGAAGAGCTCAGGGACAGAGCCCAGGCCTAGAGTTCAGGCCCCATGACAGCACTGACATCCCAGAATCATGGACATTGCAAAGCAAGACCCTCTCTCAGCTTGTGACAGCCAGCCAGCTCATAGCCATCATGCGTCAGTGTGCCACGGCCACAGTCATTTCATCCATCATCCCCTGCTGGGGCAGGTGCTGGGCCACCCTGGGCTACAAGAGCTGCCTCTCTGATGGGTTCCTCAGTGCCGGTGCAGCATGGCTGGAGACTGCGGGGGGGTTGTGTGTTGTACACAGCTCAGGCCTGGGCTCTGGGCTCTCACTGAGAACGGAGCTCAGTGCTGAACAAGCCTGGAGGCCGAGATGCTCATTAGTGACCCAGTTCTGTGTCCTTCCTGGACACAAGTGACCAAGCTGTCCCATCTCTGCTCAGAGGCTTTGCTGTCTTTCTTTCTCTCATCCTCTTCTCTTATTTCCTTCTTCCCTTTCTCCTGTCTTTATTTGTTCTTTCTTTTCTCTTCTTTCTTCCTTCCCTCCTTCCTTCCCTCCCCCCTCCCTCCCTTTTTTCCTTCCTTCATTCTTTCTGCCAGTACTAGGGCTTGAATTCAGGGCCTGGGCTCTCCCTTAATTTCTCATCCAAGGCTAGCCCTCTACCTCCTGAGTCACAGCTCCATTTCAGGCTCTTTGCTGGTTAACAGGAGTTGAGACTATCACAGACTTTCCTGCCTAGGCTGGTTTTGAACAGCGACCCTCAGATTCAACCTCCTAAGTAGCTAGGATTACAGACGTGAGCCACTGGCACCTGGCTACTCAGAGTCTTTGCTTTGGGATGAGATCTTGAATAAGCCCATTATGCAATGCAGCCCTTGCTTTTGGGCAGGGGCAAGGCCGATGGTTCACGGGTTCAAATGGTCTTTAGAGGTGTCCAGTTTAGAAGGGTCTCAGGCTGGGCAGGGCTCTGGTGGGGCAGGCCTCTGGCTGGGCGGGGCCTTGGTGTGGGTGGGGTCTCAGGCTGGGCAGGGCTCTGATAGGGCAGGCCTCGGGCTGGGCGGGGCCTTGGTGTGGGTGGGGCCTCAGGCTGGGCATGGCTCTGGTAGGGCAGGCCTCGGGCTGGGTGGGGCTTCAGGCTGGGCAGGGTAAGGGGGATTGGAAGGGTGGTTAGAGCCTCAGAGGGCCAGCCTCCTGACCTCCAGCTGGTGTTTGAAGAGCAGTCCTTCCAGCGCCATCTGCGTTTCCCAGACCTCCTGTTCGGCCCGCTGCCGTAGAAGGCTCAGAGCTGTCTCCTGCTTCTGCTGGTCTAGCTGCAAAAATCCACACCTCCTGGTTGGCAGAGGGAGCCATTTGCACTGGGAGCAGGACCCCTGTGCAGCAGACCCCATGCCTGGGAAGGGCCTTCAGGTAACCCCTCTCCTCTCCCTGCCTGGGGCTTCCCCATCCAGGCCCAAAGGCTGGGGCTCCACCTCCAAGTCCCGTGGGGGTGGGGAGCCTGGGGGGATGGGGGTGGCCAGTTTCTAAATCCTACAGTTCTCTACTTCAGGGTCTTCCGAGGCCTGAATCGGTCACAGCAGTCCTCAGCCTCGTGTGATGGGTTAGACCATACCTTCAGGGACTGGAGGAAGCTCCGGGACTTGAGCCGCAGCTTGGCTAGGAACCGGCCTCCGGGCGGGTGTTCAGGACGCCGCTCCTGCTGACCTGCAGCAGGAGGAGGGGCGGCTGAGGGCGGGGAGCATGCCCGGGCTCTCTCCTCATGCAGCCTCAGCACTCTGCAGTAGGTTAACGCAGCCTCTCCACCTGCAAGGAAACTGAGGCACAGAGGCCAGGAGGGCGGGCGCCTGACTCCCGGGTGGGGCTGTGCTGGCATGGGCCACATCAGGAAAAGCCCCGGCCCCGTGGCCGGATGGGAGGACGCAGACCTCTGCCATGTGCCTTCCCCGGGCTGGGCCGGCGCGACCTCACCCTGGCCACACTGCCCCTGCATCGCCCTCCTCTGGGGAGGCAGGAGCCACGCACAGACTCGGGCTCCAGCCTCAGCTCTGCCATGTGCGTGGCAGGTGCCACTGGCCAGCCGGAGCCTCTGGTGACATTTCTCTGCTCCCCTGAGTGGGGCTCCAAGATGGCTCACCTGGCTCCAAATGCCTGGCAGTGGCGGCTCTTGTCACTGCCAGCATGACAAGCCAGGAGGGTGTGGTAATACAGAAGGACCCAGATAGGGCTCCCCTCAGATTGAAGGCTAGCGAGGGTCTTCTCTTTCTGGTGGTCCCCAGGGCCTGGCGCTGGCTGCCGCTGGCTCTCCAGTCCCGGGGGCCTCCACGAGGGGGCAGGGCGGGGCTGAAATGTGCCCTGCGCCTCCTTCCTCACCCACCCCAGGCCCAGGGCCCGGGGATTGTCAGTCCATCCAGGCAAGGCCTGTGTAGTCCAGATGACAGGGCCCTCGGGGTGCAGAGGGGGCCCTGCCCTGAGAACACATCTTCCCAGCTGCCTGGGCTCCTTCTGGGGCTCGGCTTCTCAGAGTGGGAACAGCGGAACGGGGAACAGCAGCGGCGCGGACTGCTGGAGAGCCGGGCACAGGACCCATGCTGAGCACATGGGCGCTCCTCAAGTCCCCCTTCCTGGTACAATAAGAAACCCATGGCAGCTCTTCCGTTTGGGCTTGGGGGCTGCTCTGAGCTATGATTCCTTCGTGGAGAGAAAAGCCTGTCGTTTTTATGGCCCTTGGGGGGGGGCTGAAGTCCCAGGGGGCTCCAGGCCCAGCCTGCGGTGGGACCCCGAGACCCCCACTCCTCCCTGCCATGTGGCACCCGGGCAGGTTCCACAGAGCTGTGGGGTGCGTTTCCCTGAGCCCGGGGCAGGAGCAGCCTGCCCAGGGGGACCCTGGCCTCCATCCCCAACTCCTCTCACTCCGCAGAGAGGAACCCCAAGAATTCAGCCCCACCCACCACCCTAAAGAGCTAGCCTCAGGAACGTGCAGTGTCATGACGTTGCCTTAACAGCCCCTGCTAGGCCCGTGCTCAGGTGTGAGGAGGGGCTGGGTGTGAGGAGGGGCTCAGGTGTGAGGAGGGGCTGGGTGTGAGCGGCTCAGGTGTGAGGAGGGGCTGGGTGTGAGGAGGGGCTCAGATGTGAGGAGGGGCTTGAGTGTGAGGAGGGCTGGGTGTGAGTGGCTCAGGAATAACTAGCCTCCCCCCATGGGCAGGGGAGACCCACTGTGCGTGCGAGCCAGGTGCTATTTCCTGTGTGAGAGCCAGGTGCTGTTTCCTGAGAGAGCTGGGTGCTGTTTCCTGTGAGAGCTGGGTGCTGCTTCCTGTGAGAGCCAGGTGCTGTTTCCTGTGAGAGCTGGGTGCTGTTTCCTATGCCTGAGAGCTGGGTGCTGTTTCCTGTGAGAGCTGGGTGCTGTTTCCTGTGAGAGCTGGGTGCTGTTTCCTGTGGGAGCTGGGTGCTGTTTCCTGAGAGCTGGGTGCTGTTTCCTGTGAGAGCTGTGGGTGCTGTTTCCTGAGAGCTGGGTGCTGTTTCCTGAGAGCTGGGTGCTGTTTCCTGTGAGAGCTGGGTGCTGTTTCCTGAGAGAGCTGGGTGCTGTTTCCTGTGAGAGCTGGGTGCTGTTTCCTGTGTGGGAGCTTTTCCTGAGAGCTGGGTGCTGTTTCCTGAGAGCTGGGTGCTGTTTCCTGTGAGCTGGGTGCTGTTTCCTGTGAGAGCTGGAGTCGCTGTCAGTAGGGCTGTTGGCAGCTTCCGCCCAGTGGGTGGTGAATGAGGCTGAGGGGTAAGTCCAAGGGCTGCCCTCTGTGAGGACGGGCCCGGGTGTGGCCGCCATCCACCCCTCTGGAAGAGCCCGGCCAGGTGGCCACAGCTGTGGTCAGGAAGGGTCCTCCACCCAACACCATGGCCGGCCCTGAGCTCAAGCAGACAGCTGGCAAACTCAGGACTGGGTGGGCCAGGGCAGCTCACTGCCCTCTGGGCTGTGCTCTGATTGGATGTCACCTCCCAAAGCAGGTTGGCATCTGATTGCCATGGTAATGGGATGGGAGGCACCAGGGTTCCACCCGTTCTGCCGGCGCTGTCTCCAAGCTCGGGGTGAGGGGGGCATGTGACCAGGCGGCCGGAGGCCCCACGAAGCCCCTGAGCTATGAGCCAGGAAAGCTCCCTTCTGTGTACATCACTGTCTCCAGTGTGTTACAGACCAAACAGACCAAGGCGGGCTGGGCCCAACAGGACGTGCATCCTGTCCCTTCCGGCCCAGCAGTCTAAGGTGCGTTTTCCCCTGCTCTTTTTGCTTCTGCCTGCACCCCTCAAACACGGCACTGTGAGGTGCTGTCTAGCCAGTGCCAGATATACAGCAGCGCTTGGTGACTGTGTGTGGGCGGGGTGTGCATGCACACACACGAACACATGTGAGCGCGTGTGTGCAAGACAAATCCCACCTCTCCCGAAGGCTCTGTGCACCCCCGCAGCCCGGGCGTGCAGGCCTTCCAAGCTGCCTCACTGAAGGATCTCCAGGAGCCAGAGGCAAGGGGTCCCCCTGTGCCCACCTGTCCACGCCCATACACACCAGGTGCAAGCCCAGCAGGCCTCCTATACACCACGCCAGAGCAGGCCCACAGCGCCACAGTCAGTACTGAGACCAGGTCTCGGAGTGAAGCCCTGGGGCTCTGCTACCTCCTCCAGGCTTCCTCCACCCCCTAGCCCCCGCAGGCCTCACAGCCCACCCTGTTAGGAGTGTGGAGTGTTCCCAGAGCCGCTCTGGTGGGGTTGGGGGTCTGGGGCAGGGCCGGGGGTGGCATTTACTCTCAATGTACACCAGGCATCATCTCCCACAGCTGGATGTGACCGTGTGTGTGTGTGTGTGTGTGTGTGTGTGTGTGTGTGTGTGTGTGTGTGTGTGTGTGTGTGTGTTATTTGAGGCTAGGCCTCACTACATAGCCCAGGCTGATCTGGAACTCACAACCCTCCTGCCTCAGCTGCCAGAATTTGAGGATTACAGGACTGCAAATTGCTAGCATATTCATGTTCAAAACCTGCTCTTTCAAAGAAAATCCAGACAAGGATGAAACCGTGAATGACTGGAGTAGACACAATGGCTGGAAGCCAGGCCAGCCTCAGCTCTCAGCCACTACAGCCACTACAGCCCAGGGGCCACGCCAGGGCCAGGATTGATAGGACCTAGGTGGTCCTGCAGGCAGCTGGGGGTTCCCTGTGCCCATGCCAGCAGCGGCTCTTTAAGCCCTGGCTGTAATTTAATTAGCCAGAAAATCCAGTGATGGATTTAGGGAGGGCCGCACAAGCCAGGCTCCCAGACCAGGCATCGCTCTCTCGAGACGTGACGACCCGCACCACAACTGGACAGGACAGGGTGGGCAGCGGGGCCAAAAGCCTCCAAAACACTTTAATCGAAGTGTGGATGCAGTCCACGTAGAAAAGGATCTCTGCCCTGCAGGGCCAAGCTCACACTAGGCGGTGGAAAGGGTCCCCAGTGGGCCCCTCTGGCTACCCGACCAGCCAGCCCACGGTCTGTCCGCCGTCTGGTCCTTACCGCAGCTCGGGCCCGTCCAGGGCGTTACCAAGCCTGCTGCTCTGGCTGATGGCACTTCCTCCAGCCAAAGGGAGGAGCTGGTGGGGTTCACTGTGGCTGGTGTCCTGGAGGAGCTGGAGACACAACACACAGTGAGCAGGGCTCGGGGGCAGCATCCTCATTCAGCGGGAATCTGGCCTTCTGGGTGGTGTGTCCAGGGAGGGACCCTGGCAGGGAACAGGCCTGTGACCTGAGACCCAGGACCTGTGAGCAGAGCTAGCAGAGCCCCTACTGCAGCACTCCAGCAGGAGCAGGGGGATCCGCTCTGTGATTCCCTGGAATCAGAGCCTCCTTCGCGGGTCTGGCCGTCCTAGCACCCCTGCCAGCTGCTCAGGGCACTGCCTACCAACCTAAAGCAAAATGAGGGCTTGGCTTCAGCTTTGCCCCAACTCAATCCCGATCTCCAGCCTGGTGCAGTGACCGCCCTTTGGAGAGCCAGAGGGGGCAAGCCTGACCTGTCTGGGACCCCCAGCCATAGCCACAGACCAAGGCCTGGATGGACGTGGGAAGGCAGCCTGCCCAGCACCTGCTCTAAGGGTTAGGAGACAGGTGTGGCGTTGGTCCCTTCCCAGGTGGCAGCCGCCAAGATGGGTGGGAGCTGCTGGCCTGCGTTCAGCAGCGGCTGGGGTTGGAGGATCTCAGGCCCAGGGCCCCGTGGCGGGCGTGGGTGGGTGGTTAGCAATGCCCCACCTCGCCCTGCTTCCTCTCAGGCACCTCCTGTCCCTGTCACAGTGACCCCGGACCCACTGAGTCACCCAGGATGCCCCCCACTCCTGCGTCCAGGCACCACAGGGCACAGGTGTTTTGCTCACACCTGCTACAGTTGGGGTGACATGGTGGGCACAGGGGTGGCAGGTGTGGTGTGACCCCCTCTCCACGTGTGGTCTGTGTTAAGACTGTGAGGGGCTCTGTGGCACCCTGAGAATACAGAATGGAGGAAGCTTCCAGGAACAGGAGCAGTCGTGGACTGATGGGTAGGGCTCCTGGGGCCGAGCTGGTAGACGGCTGTGGTCCAAAGCACTGTGCCCGGGGGGGGGGGGTGTGGAGGAGGTGTCCCGTGCAGGCCAGAAGCCGGCCTGAGAGGCAGCATGGACCAGGTGCTGGGGGAGAGGGCAGGGAGGAGGAGGAAACGCTGCTCCCCAGGGGAGAGCTGGCAGGCCCGCCGGCCGTAAGAGCACTCAGAACGGCCCCCCCATCTGTCTCCACACCCTAGTCCCTGCTCTTCCAGAGCCTCATCCTGGGGTGCTGGTCCTGTCTCTCCTGCCTAGGTGGGAGGGAACTTGGGGACAGAAGGCCCAGCCACGGCCTCTGCCCTCAGACTCCTGTGATGGGCGGGGGACACATGGACCTTTTGGGCCTGGCCCGCTGGGGACAGATCCCCTCTCCTCCCTCTCCCCCCCCAGATCCTCTCCATAAATTCTCCACCCCACACCCTTGCCCACCTCAGAGCCTGCTTGCTGTGGGATGGGGAAGCCCAGCCCAATGCTGCCCTCTACAGGCCACAGAGAGTCAAGCAGGACACAGTCCCCAGAACCAAAGAGAAAAAGGTTCTCAAAGATCAAAGAGGGCCTGCAGCAGGAAAGGACGGGAAGTAGAACAGGCTCAGTTCCCTTCCCTGTTCCTGCGCTTCCCTGGGAGCCTCTGAGGCGGGGCATGACTGTACTCCAGGTCAGCTGACAGCTGGGTTCAACCCTGACTCGCTCAATCCCCCATCCTAGGTGATCCTGGCGGGCACACCAGGCTCCCTGCCCCAGGCCTGGGGCCACGGCAGCCTTAAGCAGTACCAACCCTCACTGAAGCAGGTGCTTGGCTCAGCCTGGCTGGGCCCCTCTTTGGGGGAGGGGTGGCCTCTGAGCCAGCAAAGGGGCTACCAAGCAAGGCCGCCAGGGTGAAGCCATGTCGGGGTGTTCCCCCCCACACACAACAGGCCCACACGTGGCCAGCCATCCCCAGAAACGCCTCCCTCTGTGCCTCTCTGGACACAATTCTGGGATTTATTTTTTCCAGATCCTGGGGCTTAAACTCGGGGTCTCTGAGCTTTACCACCTTGAGCCACAGCTCCGCTTAGGGCTTTTTGTGGTTATTAGGAGATAAGAGTTTCACAGACTTTCCTGCTCGGGCTGGCTTTGAACTGCGATCCTCAGCTCTCAGCCTCCTGAGTAGCTAGGATGACAGGCGAGGGCCTCCGGCACCCAGCTTGGTTCTGGGATCTGGAGGCAGGCAGCCTGGGTGGCGGTCATGGCGGCGGAGTGCACTATGCGGGACTCACCTCCGTGTGTAGGTGCTGAGGGCTTGGAGCGGGGCTGACGCCCCCCGCGGCCTCTTCTCCAGCTCCCACTCATCCTCGTCCGGGATGTCTTTGGGAGGGGCACATGGTTTCACAGTGACCCAGAGGGCGTGGCACTGCCAGTCGAGGGGCGGGAGGGGCGGTGGGGGGGCAAGCTGGCTGCCCAGTCCTCTAGAACCATAGGGGACTCGCTCAACTTCTGCAGGAAGGAGCTCAGCCGCCTCCAGCCACGGCCTCGCCACGGGCCACACCAGCCACGGTCAGCCACAGTCACCCCTCGTGCCCCCCGACCGCCACTTCTTCCTGTCTCCCTTTCTAGCCCTACCTTTGGCCTGGCTCTGGAGGTAGGCCGGCGCGCTCGGGCTCTGTGGCTCCCACCTCGAGCTCCATGGCGGCGTCTCAGCGTCTGGGAAGCAGGCGGCAGGGAGGAGGGACCGGGGCTGCACACGCACCGCGTCCGCGGACGCCGCTCTTCCCCCACTGGGAGCAGAGGAAGCGAGAGTGGGGGTGGCGGGCACCGTGCCGGGCCCCGAGCGGGGCCGATCCGAGGCCAGGCTCCTGCCAGTGTCCGGCGACTCCGTCCGGCGCAGCTTGGCGGTCAGGATGTCGATGCGCTGCTTGAGGACGTCGGCCATGGTCTCCAGCGCCTGCAGCCGGGCCTGTTTGTAATGGAACTGCAGGGGGGACCGGCCCAGGGCCTCAGCCTCCCAGGGCTCCACATAGATGCACAGCCTCTGGGGCAGGTCCTCGAGCTTTGGGTGGGCCCAGGAGGCGGTGGACGGCAGCAGCGGGGCGCCACTCATGCTGTCCAGGCGGCCTCTGGAGTCTGGGGTCTCGGCACGGTTCCAGGCTCTGTTCAAACACAGACAGAAGCTGCAGGAAGAGAAGAGTGAGCAGACGCTCAGCCCCAGCCAGGCCATGGTGGATGCTGTGTGCAAAACGTGTGTGTGTGTGTGTGTGTGTGTGTGCATGTGTGTGTGGCCGAAATGTGGAGCGGGAGGCTTGGACATCATGGCTCATCCGACCACTTGCAATGAGTTGTCAACTAGGACAAAGGGCAGGGGTGGCAGGGCATGGCCGCACCAACCACACACCAGGGTGAGGCTGTCAGACAGTACAGCTGCTGAGGGAAGCCGGCTCCTCAAATACTAGACTGAATTACCACCTGATTCAACAGGTCCACTTCTGGGCAAAAGTATGAAAAGCAGGCCAGATGCTGTGGCTCACGCCTGTAATCCCAGCTACGTGGGAGGTGGAGATGAAGCAGGACTACAGTTCAAGGCCACCGGGTCAGGCAAAAGAGTTTGTGAGGCCCTGTCTAGAGCAGTAGTTGAGGGGGAGATCTGTCACCCTGGCTCCTCAGGAAGTGTCCTGTGTCATGGTCCAGACAGGCCTAGGCAAAAACGCAAGACTCTAGCCCCAAAATACAGACCAGAAAGGGTGGGGGGAGCGTGGCATAGGTGGTACAGCACTGGTCAATCAAGCATAAGGCCCCAAGTTCAACCCCCAGTACCCACCGACTCCCCGAAAAGTACTGGGAGCACACATGAGCAGACATTTGCACCCCATGTCTACAGCATAAATATTCACACCAACCAAAGACAAAACAACCCAATGTACCTCCCATCGCGGACGGGAGGACCCCGAGAGGCATGGGTACTGGATACCACATGGGTCAAGGCCTGTCCAACTCTTGCCTCTGGCAAGAGGCACACCCAGGGGCTCCGGAGTGAGCCCAGCGCAGGACTCTTCCGGCAGGGGTACGCTGGGGCTCAGCCATGTCCTAGCTGTGTGCCCGTTCCCCGCCGCCCAGGCTGCCCGGGACATCCTTGGCCCGTGGCCAGATGAGGCCCTGCTGCGTGGGCCGGCCCTGCCGTGGCCTCTGGGTGTCCAAGCAGCCCTTCCTGGCAACACCCAGGGCCAGCAGAGTGGGGGGGGGGGAGGGAGGCGCTCCAGCACTTCCGTGTGGCCTAGGAAGGAAAGCTGACTTGGATTGGTTAAAATACAGGATAGTCAAAGCCAGGCATTGTGGCTCATACCCTGGAACTGAGATCTGGGGACCGCAGTTCAAAGCCATCCTGGCAGGATGTTAACCACCAAAAAGCTAGAAGTGGAGCTGTAACTCAAGTGGCAGCACGCCAGCCTGCAGGGACAGAGCTCAGGCCCAGAGTTCAAGCCCAGCACCCATACCTACACACGTGTGCACACACACACATACATGCACACACATGCATAAAATACAGGATAGCCAAACCAAAATCAAAAAGGGGAAAGGTAAGTCAGTAGAATTCTCACATTTCCAGAGACCAGCCTGGAAACACCTAGAAAAGCTATAGAGAGAGAGCTGCTGTGACACCCTCCCAGCTCTAGGCCCCGGTGCCCAGGTTCTAATCTGATAGGCCACAATCCTAGATGTTGAAATCCTGTAAGAGCAAAACTCCAAAATCTAAAATCTCAACCCCAAAAGGGAAGGCCGAAGTCCTGAATCCTGACATGAGGAACTCTACCATTCCCATGAAGAAAGCCGGGGGCAGGGCTGGGGCCCAGTGCTGAGGCGGGGCTGGGACGCCTCCTCCTGCGGGATCGCCACACCACGTCAGGCAGAAGCAGCACCTAGAAACATGGGAAGCCTGACTGGGCGGGAAAGGAAAATGAGCATGACCTCCGGGAAAAGCAAAACCAAAGCAGCTGCCCACCACCTACCCCTGTAACCTACTTTCTCATGGCAAACCTTTTGAGTTTCTCTATGTGGCCCAAGTGTGGAACTCACTGTGAGGCTGAGGCTGGCCTTGAACTTGTGATTCTCCTGCTTCAGCCTTCCAAGTGCTGGATTTACAGGTATGCACACACCCCAAGCTCAGCTACCTTTTCTTTCTCATTTTCCCCCCAGCATTAAAAAAAATCAGCATCATTTTGTACAATTCACTTTGCTGTGCATTTCATATTCATGTCACTGACGGTAATGAAGCTATAAATCGTGTGAGACCTCTAAGAGTTCTAAATGGCTTATGTGCTTTCTGCAGATTTGACCCCAGAGTAAATACAATACCACAGCGCTGGCGATGTACATAAGCATTTTGGGGTACACAAAACACTGAAACTCACTGGCTTGGGCGTATAATCACAGCTACTTAGGAGGCTGTGATCTGAGATTGTGGTTTTAAGTAAGCTTTGACTTACTTGACTTTTTTTTTTCCCAGTCCATTACTCTATCACTTGAGCCACAGTGCCGCTTCTGGCATTTTCTGAGTAGTTTGTTGGAGTAGTCTCGTGGGTGGGCTGGGAAGGTGGCTCAGTGGTAGAGCGCTTGCCTCGCATGCATGAGGCCCTGGGTTGGAATCCTCAGCACCACATAAACAGAAAAAGCCGGAAATGGTGCTGTGCCTCAAGTGGTAGAGCCCTAGCCTTGAGCTAAAGCAACTCAGGGACAGTGTCCAGGTCCTGAGCTCAAGCCTCAGGACCGGCACAAAAAAAAAAAAAAAAAGTCTCATGGACTTTGCTGCCCGGGCTGGCTAACGGAGATCTTCAGATCTCAGTCTGAATAGCTAGCATTACAGGTGTGAACCACCAGTGCCCAACTATTAGACCTTTGTCTCCAATTAACCATCAAAAAAGCTGGTACTAGACCCATGGTTCAAGTGGTAGAGTGCTAGCCTGGAGCAAAAATGCTCAGCAACAGTGCCCAGACCCTGAGTTCAAGCCCCAGAATGACACAGAAGACAAAGAAAACACCACTGAAACTCAGCCAGGCACCAACGACTCAGACCTGTCACTCTAGCTCCTTGCGAGGCTGAGATCTGAAGGATCACAGTTTGAAGCTAACCCAAGCAGAAAAATCTCCCAGACTCTATCTCCAAAATAACCAGCAAAAAGCAGGGTTGGAGGCATGGCTCAAGTGCAGAGCACCAGCTGAACAAGCACAGACCGAATTCGAACCTTTATGCTGGCAAAATAAATAAAAGCAATTCCCTCGGTATGTGAGGGGTGCTTTTGTTCAGGATGGGATTTCTCAGTATTAATTGTGTGTCCATGGCTCAGGCCTGTAGTCCTAGCTACTCAGGAGATCCTGAGATCTGAGATCTGAGATCTCAGGAGGACAGTTCAAAGCCAGCTTAGGAGGGAAAGTCCATGAGATTCTTATCTCCAATTAGCTGCCAGAAAAGCCAGAAGTGGAGCTATGGCTCAAGTGACAGCATGCCAGCCTAGAGTAAAAAAGCTCAGGGACAGAGCCCAGGCCCTGAGTTCAAACCGTGGTGCTGGCACATGCACAGGAACTCAGTACCTTGACGCCGCTGGCTCTTGGGGGATTGGGAAGGGTCTGCCGTGAGCGGGCTGCCGCTCGCAGTAAGCAAATGACAGAGTGTGGAGCTGGTCCACAGGTGTGCACCATCAGCTTACTTTCACACCTTTGAATTCAGACTCATTTCTTTGTAAACATGGCTCACAACTGGCACACCCACTGTGTTTATGCTCAGAAAAAAAAAAGCTGCCATGCAGTTCTACCCGTTCTACTGTGTCAAGCAGCCTATAAAGTGTCACGCTCCTATGCGTCAAGACAGTCCCCGGTTGAAAATGAAATATCTATGTCTCCTAAAGAACTTTAAATGATCATTTCCAGGACTTCAGTCTTTTGGGGTTGTGATTTGGGGGATTTCAGGCGTTAGGGATTTTGGCTTTGGGGGGGATTTCAACATTAGGGATTATGGCACTTGGGACTGTGTGTTTCTGGATTATGATTATAACCCCCAGGACACCCCCTGGGAAATAAGAACAGGTACCCCAACAAGCACATGCACACCAAGGTTTACAGCCACCAAAACGTGGAAGAGACCCAAGAGCCCACCAACAGCAGCGGGTTGTAAACAGAAAGAAGTCCTGCCTGGCCTGGTAGCATGGGTGAACATGCCTTCTAGGAAGGTGAACCAGACCCCCAGACGCCTTTACCTGAAAGTTGGGAAGAAGAGAACCTACAGAGATGGCGGTTGGAGCTGAGTGTGGGTCTGCACTACACATGCCAAAGGGACCGAGAGCTAGACGGGGATGTGCCCATCCCTGGGCCTGTACTAAACGCTCTCAAGCTGGGCGTTTAGAAATGGACAGTTTAAGTCCAGTGCTGTTGGCTCACGCCTGCAATCCTAACCCCAGGAGGCTGGGATCTGAAGATTGTGGTTTGAACCCAGCCTGGGTGGGAAAGTCTGTAAGACTCTTATCTCCAACTACCCACACCAAAAAGCCAGGCGTGGAACTGGGGCTCAAGTGCTAAGACTGCCAGCCTTGTGTGAACAAGCTAAGGGACAGTGCTCTCCTGGGCCCCGGGTTCAAGCCCCAGTACCAACTCCCTTTCCCCCCAGAGCATGATTTCAGTTCACGGCAATTCTCACCTCAACAGAAACACAGCAGTGACCATTGCTGTGTACAGCGCTGGGCAGTGGGAGACATTCCCCAGGGGACTCACTGTCACAGCCGTCAAGTGCCCAGATTTTACACCCCTCCCCCCACATATACCCTTGTACCCACCTGCCTGGGGCCTCCTGGTCCCCCAGCACCTTGCCAGATGTCACCTTGCTCCACTCCTGCAAACCCAGGCTCCCAGGGACTTCTAAATCCTTCAGCAGAGGAGACCCATCAGAGCCCTAGGCCAGAAGACCCCACAGCCCCTTCTCCTGAGGCTCAGAGGCTGGACCAAGACCCCCACTGGCCCTCCAGGCACATACCCCAGCCTGTGCAGAACTGGGAACAAAGGTCACGATGCTAGGCTTCGTCTGGGAGACCAGGGGGAACGCCTTGCCCAGCATGGCCTCCCTCTGCTTCTGGTACACCTCCTGCAGCCTCTGGTTCCTCAGGTCCAGTGTGTGGGCTGCCCTGGCCTTCTGCTCCAGGGCCTGCTGCTGCCGGGCCTGGGCCTTGCGGCGCATGAAGTCTCGTAAGGACTCGGAGCTGTGGGGCTGCTCCACAGCCTTCTGCGGCCTGGGACGGGGCATGTCCTGCCCCCGGGGGGGCCTCGGCCAGGCCTGCTTGGCTCTCCAGGGAGGGGGCCCTGCCTTCTGCAGGAAGGAGCTGCTCCAGGAGGGCTTGGGGGAGAGGCCAGGTCTTTCCAGAGGGCTCCAGGGTCTGGAGACGTGAACCTTCCGGTCTTCATAAGTTGCCCAGGGGCTCAGGGGGCTGGGAGGCCGCCCGGAGGAGCTCAGCCCCTCAGCAGGGCTCCGGGGCCTTTGGCTCAGCCCCTCGGCAGGGCTCCGGGGCCTTCGGCTCAGCCTCTCCGCAGAGCTCCGGGGCCTTCGGCTCAGCCCCTCGGCAGGGCTCCGGGGCCTTCGGCTCAGCCTCTCCGCAGAGCTCCCAGGCCTTTGGCTCAGCCCCTCCGCAGAGCTACCGGGCCTTCGGCTCAGCCGCTCGGCAGGGCTCCCGGGCCTTCGGCTCCCAGGCCTTTGGCTCAGCCCCTCGGCAGGGCTCCTGGGCCTTCGGTAGAAGTCCTGGCCTTGGGCTGCCCGGTTCTTCTGCGGATAGGCCTGTCCAGCCAGGGCACTCCAGGGGCGCTCAGGAAACAGGCCTGATCCCTCGGCAGGGCCCCTGGGCCTTGGGAAGGATGGGTCTGGGGTCCTGGACCTCGAGGCCCTCTGTAGACTGGGCTTTCTTTCAGCCAGCAAGCTCCAGGGCCTCTGGCTGTGGAAGCTCCTAGCTCGGCCTAAAGAGGACCGTGTCCCCTCGGTCGCCACAGTCCACGGGCTCTTGGGAGAGGCGCTCTGTGCGGCCTGGGCGCTGGGGAGGCCCGGCTGCCTCCTCCCGGATGGGTTCTGTGGCTTCGGCCTCCGCGCGCCCCTGGGGTGCTGAGCCATCTCCAGCCCAGCCTGAATCTGCTGGCGCAGGTCCTGGAGGATGGCCAGAGCGTTGTGGACGGTCGCCGGTGGCTTGCGGGAAGCCAGCTGGTCACTGTGAGCAGAGGTGGGCCTGGACGACCAGGGGGAGCCGGGGGAGCCCTCGGCGGCTGGGGCTCTCTCATCAGCTCCTGCAAAGACAGGCAGCAGTAGGGCCTTGGGCACTGCAGGCCGGAGGAAAGTTTCCCCACGGTCTCAGCGATCACCGTCTGCACGAGTACGTGGAGGTGCGCGTGCACCCGGCCTGCACTGGGTGCTGGGCTGAGTGCGCATGTACACGGCCTGCTCCGTGTGCTGTGCTGAGTGAGCATGCCCATGGCCTGCTCCGTGTGCTGTGCTGAGTGAGGTGTACACGGCCTGCACGGGGTGTGGGGCTGAGCAAGCAGGAGCACGCAGGGGAGGGGGCTGTTTGTCTCTGAAGCAGCCCAAGGTGGCTGCTCCTGTTTCTTAGATTGTTTCCCTTTCTCATACTTGGGATGGAACTCAGGGCCGCGCACCTGCTATGCAGCTAATCTATCCAGCATTTGAGCTACTTCTCCAGCCTCCCCCCCTTTTTTTTGGTAGTCCTGGACCTTGAACTGAGCCTGGGCACTGTCCCTGAGCTTCTTTGTGCTCAAGGTAAGCACTCTACCACTGGAGCCACAGCTCCACTTCTGGCTTCTGGTGGTTAATTGGAGATAAGAGTCTATCAGTCTTTCCTGACCCGGCTGGCTTTGAACCAAGATCCTCAGATCCCAGCCTCCTAGGATTACAGGTGTGAGCCTTCAGCGCCTAGCTCTCACCCCTTTTCACCTTGGTTACTGTCACGGTACAGTCTGGCTCCGTGCCTGGGTCAGCCTGAGCTGCAGTCCTCCACCAAGGATGGCAGCAGCTCTGCCCTGCCCAGGCCCTGGGCTTCCCCCTGTGCCCAGCCATTGGTTGGCATCTCACAAACTTCTTCTTCCCCCAACTGGCCTTGGACCATGATCCCCTGGGGGATTCCAAGCAGCTAGGATTACTGGCTTGAGCCGCTGCACTCAGCCTTGTCTAGGTTTTCTTCTGGGGGAAGGGCTTGAACTCAGAGCCTCACGCTGTCATTTAGTTTTTTCTCTCAAGGCTGGTGCTCTACCTCTTCAACCACAGAGTCTACTTCTGGTGTTTTGGTGGTTTATCTAGAGACAAAATTCTTATAGACTTGCCTGCCTAGGCTGGCTTTGAACCATGATCCTCAGATCTCAGCCTCATAAATAGCTAGAGCCGCCGGCGTGCGCATCATAGGGTTTTTTTTTTTTTTTTTTTTTGCTGCTCCGGTTGTGGGGCCTGAACTCTGAGCCTGGGCGCTGTCCCTGAGCTCTTCAGCTCAAGGCTTGCACTCTACCACTTGAGCCACAGTGCCACTTCTGGCTTTTTTTTTTTTTTTTGCTTATGTGGTGCTGGGGAATCGAACTCAGGGCCTCAGGTATGCAAGGCAAGTGCTCTACCACTGAGCCACCTTCCCAGCCCCATCATAGGGTTTTGAAAGGTAATTATCTCCAAAGTCACTTCCCAGGCAATGAACTAGGAGGACGATTGACAGGTCCTATACCGCCTTTGCCAATGGTGTGCATCTGTGGCTGGGGGCATCTCCTCTTCCACGCCCACCCTACCGCCCCCAGATGCCGTAGCAAAGCAGGACAGAGCCCATGGCAGAGGCGAGAGGTACCTAAGTCGGCAGCGGGGGCGGGCTCTCTGGAGGGTGGCTTGCTCTGGAGCCTGGGGCGGGCCGGAGGGGGCCCCAGCAGCGACCGTACCAGTGCTTGTCCTCTCCGCCAGGCGTAAACGCCAACCAACTCAGAATCTTAAACAGAGAAGACACCCACACACAGCCGGGCACCACGGTCCCTGAGGGGTGTGGATGAACAGGTGGCTCGCTCCACTCTGTCCCCAGAGACCAAGGGGCTCGGGGCAATCCTTCCTGGGGTGCAGGGCCGAGCCCTCAGGCACCGAGCAGCGGCGCCCTGTGCTGGGGAGACCGTGGGCCGTGTCCTAATGCCTCAGACCCTTAGACTCCCCTTCAGTGAGGGGGCAGTGGGGCTCCCCACCACCCTGCCTGGGCAGCAGAGCCCTGCCCCAGCCCCTACCCCCAGCGTGCCCTGGGAGGGGCCAGGCGGCCTGGGGCAGGGCAGCCTGCATAAGGCCACGTCTGCAGGAGCCATGGCTCCAAGCTCCGGCTGACCACACTCCATAGATCCGTGCCAGAGTCCTGGCCGTCCAGAGGCAGCAGAAATAAAGGGCCCGCCACGTCCCAGACACAGAGCAGCTTTCCTTCAACCTGTTGTCTCGTTCAACGCCACTCACTGAGGCTTTACTTTGAATCCCAGGTCCCAATCCCCAACCACCACTGCCAGCCTGTCTTTACTGACCCATTTCCCAGGACCCAGCAAAGGCAGGAAGCAGACTTTTTGCTCACGCGCTCACACACTCATAAACACTCATTCATATGTTCCCATACACACGATTACACCTGCACTCTCATGCATACGCACACTCACGTGCATCTCTACACATACGCATGCCACATGTGTGCACACACATTCACACCCAGGCACGCCGAGTGGGCCCAGCCCACTCTTTAAGGCAGAAACCACATGCGTGCTGGGTTCCTGGTCCCCCCACGCTCTGCTCTGGGGTCCAGCCCATGGTGGTGCTAACTTGAGACCTAGGACAAAGCTCTCTCCTTGGCCAAGTAGCCAGGCCCTTGGCTGCCCCGGGGCAAACCACCTGGCCGAGCAGAGCCCATTCTACACCCCCTGCCCTGCCTCAACCTCCCCCCAGGACGGGCAGCACCAGGCAGCTCTCTGGCCACGTCCTGGGGGAGGGAGGGACAGGGTGCCCAGGCCAGCACAGGGCAACCGTGCTGGCTTACAGTCCTAGACCTGGGATTTCAGCGTCCTCACAACACTTCTTTACAGGGCCACGAAGATGGATGGATGGCCACCATCTTTCTAAGACGAACCCCGACTCTGCTGGCTCAGGGTGGAGACCCGGGCAATGAGCTTGGCTGGGTCATGTCTGGGTGGCAGGTGGAGTGTGGGGGCAGGGACCTCCGCCAGGGCTTCACCCCCGTACCATACGTACCCCGACGGCTGCCACCTGCCGGCCCTCGGCCCCAGCCCCTCCCTCCAGGCTGCTCGACCCCCTCCCACCAGCCCACCGAGGGGCCTGGTCGATGAATGGGCCCTGATGGGCACATTTTTTTCTTCCACGGAGCAGTTTAATGGCAATTAATTTTTTTACGAGCGGATTTTTAATCTGTGGAAATGGAAGGCGTCCCCAGGTGCCCTGTCAGCGCTCTGGGCCAACCTAATCTAAGATAACAAATGCAAAGCAAGGCCATATAATCGGAGATTAAATATCAGCCTTAATTTTCCTTTGGCCCGGATGGATGCATATTTTATAACTATTGTGGTTTAATTTTTTGTTAACTACAGCAAATTTCTAATTCATCCAATCCCCGAGTCCTGTGGCTGTGACCTCTGAACCCCAACTCATCTCTCCTTAGCCCGGCCGCGGCCGCCTCACTGACAGAAACTAATGGTCACCGTGGCCGGGGTGACACGGTGCTTACGATGATGGATGCGGCCCGTGGCGTGCCCTTCTGACCCCATGTCAGGCAGGAGGCAGGTCATTTTTCAAGGAAGCCATTAAAACCAAGCGCACCAAAACGCTGGGGGCCGGGAGGGGGGATGACGCGGTCATGTTTTATGCAGGTTCAGGAATCTTCCGGAACCTTTTGGGAGCCCTCTCACGGCCCCTCTCCTGGACGCCTGCCCGGTGGCACCTCTGCCCGCCGAGCAGCCCTGCCCTCCCTGTCCCACAGCACTGGCCCTGTCCAGCTGCCCCACTTCCCCAGGGGCCCCTCCGCTGGGCAGGGTGCGGAGACGCCACCGCGCTGCCTGGGGACATCTGGCCGTGCTAGACGGTCCGCAGCACCCGCTGCCCAAGCAGACGGACCCGGACTGTGATCTCACCCACCGAGGGGAGGCTGTGAGCTGCCGCCAGTGTAGAGGGAGGGTCTACAGAGCTGGCTGCAGCCCCGCGTGTTCCCAGAGCCCAGTGCCCCGGCCCGGGCAGAACGCGAAACCTCCCCAGCCTCAGTTTCTGCATCTCCTGAACGGGTGCCAGCCTGCCTCCCTGGGGAGAGCGGCTGGGACAGAGCGGGTGGACGTTCTGGGAGCCAGCGCCACACACAGCCTGGCCCTGAGGAGGTGCCGAGGGGCCTGAGGGCTCGGCCACCCACCTGGCCCGGGGGGACCCCGAGGACCACGCCCCAACTCCAAATGCAGCGCCTCGGCTGGGAGGCTAGGTCTCCATAGCCCCCCGCCTCAGGGAGGGGCCTGAGTTAGAAACCTGCCAGTCCTCCTGCCTCCCACAGGGCCACTGAGGACAGCCCTCCTGGACATGCCCTGGCACCGGCCACCATGTCGACCCGGGGCTGGCCTGCACCCAGGGCCAGGGGAGGGCGGGGTCTGCGCGCGCCCCCCTCCCTCCCGGTGCGTGCCTGTTCCCCGTGCGTGCCGCCTGCCATCCAGATCCCAAGTCATAGAAGCGGGAGCCACCGGTTATCTCAGTGCTCTGAGAACAAGACCCTGGTGCTGGGGCCAGCCCCGCGGGTCCCGGGCCCCCCATGTCCTGCAGGGCTGCCTGCCTGCCAGCTGGGGACCCAAATAGCAAATCTCACCTTTGCTTTTGGCAGCTCTGCTGGGGACGGGCAGTCTGGAGGCCTTCTCGGTTTTATAAGAACTGCTTTTCATCCTCTTGGCGTTTTCCCAGGGAACTTCAGGGAGGAGAGTGGGGGGAGAGGAGGGAGAGAGGGAAGAGGGAGGGTCAGTAGTAAGACGGCACACGCACCACACGCTTGCTCGCCAAGCGGAACCTGGGTTCCTCTGCTGAGTGCATGAACCACCGCGTGAACCACATCTGGAGGAAGCCCCTCTGCTCAGGCCAGGAGAAGAAGATGGAGGGCTGGGAACGAGGGGCCCACCCTCTGGCCAGCACAGACAAAGCTCCTTTAACCTCCCTCCTGTAGCAAGCCGAGAGACTGCTCAGGGGAAAGCCAGTCCCAAGGCCTGTCTACCGCATTTCCCAGCACCACTGGCCCTAATTTAGGCTCTGTGCCTGCAAACCCAAACACCAACCAGCCAGGAGGCCTGGCCAGGCTGAGAGGAAGACCATGCCCCAGGTTGCCAGGCGTCCACCACACTGGGTTCCATCTTGGTTTCTGTCATGGCTCTATGATCCCAATCCTGTGGGCAGGAAGGTACTCAAGATCCAAGCGCCCTTAAATGGACAAGTCCTCAGCCAGGCATGGTAGTACATGCCTTTAATTCCAGCACTGGAGGCTGAGGCAAGAGGATCCATGTTGGAGGCCAGACTGGGCTCCACAGCCAAAAGAAAAAAAAAAAAAACAAAAAGTAAAAGGACAGTCTTGTGCGATTCCAGTCACATGATTTCTTCAGAGCTGGCCGCTGCACAGAGACAAGAAGTAGTTGGAAGTAGGTGGCGGGTTGGAGAGATGGAGAGCAAAGTTTGTGAGGACAGAGAGGTCGTGTGGGGAAGAAGAGGGGTCTGTGGGTGGGCGCGGGGAGGGCGGGGAGCTTGAGCTACCTGTGCTTACCACAATTTGTGGTGCTGGGATTTGAACTTGGGGTCTCACAGGGGCACAGCTGATGCTTTACCACTGAATCACAACTGCAGCCTGGCTTTTTGCTGGTTATTTTGGAAATGGAGTCTCTCATCGTCTTTTCTGCCTGGATTGGCATCAAATTGCCACCCCCTGGGCCTGGGCCTCCTGAGTCGCTAGGATTGGAGAGTCCTGGATGCCTAGACTACCATCGTGTTCGTTTTTAAAGGCTTTCCTCTAGAGAGCTCTGGTTGGCGGGAAGGGGCTGGGTCCTGCATCCTGGGCCAATGGGTGGGTGGCTGCCCTGGAATGAGGCGGGGGCACAGCCCACTGGCTAGAAGAACAGATGTAGTGACCCTCAGGGGAAGGAGGGGTAAGGGCAGTCAGCGCTGGCCCCAGCCTGCAGCCTGCAGGCCCCGGCCTGTCTGCCCGTCTGGCCCAGAGCTGCATGGTAGGACACACCCCCGCGCACCCGCACCTGCTGTCTACGCGGTGGCAGGTGGGTGCCAACTAGCCTCTCCCCTGCCCACCTCCCAGCTCCAGAGCACAGCCCACCGTCCTCCCCAGCTGAGTGCTCAGGATGGCTGGGGCAGCCTGCGGGGAGCAGAAGTCCTGCAGGGCTGGCTTCCCATCCCCCTGGCTGGTGGACACAGACTCCACCCTGGGCCTGCCCAGCACCCACCTGACACACTCCGAAGGGAGAGGCCGTGTTCCCCAAACACCCCAGCCCTCCAGGCCCCAGAGCGGGTCCTGTCCACCCCTCCCTCCCTCTGCTCTCAGACTCCTCCACCACCCTCCCCCCAGTCTACCCACAGCCTTCACCACCTCCAAGGTTGTCTGGGTGTTGTCTGGGGTGGGGAGGGAAGGGGCGGTGCTGCCCACCTTCAGGAAGGAACAGGGAACACGGCACCTGCGGGGCCCCTTGCCTGGCTCCCTTACCGGAAAGCTCTTCTCAGAGTCCTCCTCCTGGGAGGCAGCGCTTGGAGCCCAGGACTCAGAGACTAGAGGCCAGCTCCACCTCCTCCCTCAGCCCTCTCCCGCTAGGGGCTGCGCGCCCTCTGTCTCTTTACCTGTGAACAGGTCACCACATGTGGTCCACACCACGATCCAAGCCTCCAACCCGGAGCTGCTCACGGGATGGCCTGGGAGAGCTCCCGCCCCGGCCCCAGGCTGGGTGCTGCCTGCGCCCCACCCCCACCCCCCACACAGAATGCCCACTGCCCGAGCAGAGTGCAAGGAAAGGCGTGTGTGAAGAGGTCCCCCTAGGGCTTCCTAGGGCCAGGCTCTAGTTTGGAGCCACTCAGACCTGGAGCCGGACCCAAGAACACACCATCTGGACACACACTGGCGCTCAGCCAGACAGCCACATCTCATTGGCACGCTAACTGCTCGGAGGCTTCATGGCTGTGCACACCTGGTGCTGGGCACCCAGCGTGGGTTAGGCTGCCTTGCCCAGGGGCAGGCATCACACATACATGCAGCAAATCCCATTTTTGAGCCAGGTGCTAGTGGCTACTCAGAGCTCACACCTGTCATCCTAGCTACTCAGAAGGCTGAGATCAGAGGGTTGTAGTCTGAAGCCAGCACAGGCAGGAAAGTCCTTGAGACTCTTATCTCCAATGAATTAGCAAACCCAGAACTAGAGCTGAGGCTCAAGTAGAACACTGGCCTTGAACAGCTGAGAAAGATTAGCTCGTGGGGGCACTGGTGCAATGGATCAGTCTGCTGATAGATCATAATCAGGGGCATGTTTGGGGAGTGATGGGAAGCAGGAATGGTGGACGTAGCTCACTCTCCCTGTTGTCCTCCCTGGCTCCCCACTTCCCCGACGCTCTGCTTGCTGGCTGCAGTGAGGTGAGAACTCTCTCTCTCTCTCTCTGCTTCCTGGATGCCGGAGGTGAGCAGCTTTCCCCTGCCACATTCTCTGAGGCTGTGAGTCAAAATAAGCCTCTCTTCCTTTAACCTGCATTTGTCACCATGGTGACAGCACAGAACGTTGCTATTGAAAAGTGGGTCGTGACTGTAACTAAACCTAGAGATGCGAGTATCAGAGTTCACGTGGTTCCGTCCCAGCTCAGGGCTGGGTGTGGCAGTGTATACCTGTCAGCCCAGCTACAGGGGGAAGCACAACAGCCGGGTATAATGGTGTGTGTCTGTCAACCCCAGCGACTCACAGGAAAGCACATGTAGGAGGTCAATGTTCAGGCTGGCCAGGGCATAAATCCAGAACCTCCCTCCAAAACAACCAAGGCTGCTAGGGGAGGCAGCTGTGGTTCAAGTAGTAGAATGCCTTGTGAGGCCTTTAGTTCAATACCCAGTATTGCCAAAAGAACAAAAAGAAATGAAGAGAAGAAGTTTCTTTTTGTATGTTTTTTACCATAATTTTGTTTTAAATAAGATTTTTAATCTTAAAAGGGAAGAAAGAAAAGCTGTGGGCATGGCTTAAGTGGTCAAGTGTCTGCCTCGCGAGCACAAAGCCCCGAGTTCAAAACCCTATACTTCCCCAAACTGAAAGACGAAATAAGGGTCAAAAAGGCAGACACCTCCCTGTGTCCTTAGAGCTAAAGGGACTGGGTCACTACATCCCATCAACAAGAACATTCTTTAGATATTAAATTGCCACCCATGTCCCAGTCCCCCCCCCCGCCTTTTTTGGTGCCCGTACTGGGGCTTGAACTCAGGGCCTGGGTGACGTCCCTTTTGTGCTCAAGGCTAGCACTCTACCACTTGAGCCACAGCTTCACTTCCAGCTTTTTTGGTGGTTAATTGGACATAAGAGTCTCACAGCTTTTCCTGCCCAGGCTGGCTTTTGAACTGTGATCCTCAAGCAGCAGGGACACAGCCCCCGGCCCCGGCCCAGGCCCCAGCTCCCTTCCACGCCTCCTAGGGGCCGCTGTGGCCCCATCCTTCCGGGCACCATCCCTCTCTTGCCCATCCATGCGCCCGCCTCATCCTCACCCCAGCTCGGAAGCCCCTCGCCCCCCCGACTCTCCTCCCTGTTCCCACGGCCTTGCTGCCACTGACCTGGGACTGCCAGGGCGCTGGTCACCTTGCGGCTCTTCCTCGGGAGTGCCACAGCGGGGGCTTTGGAGAAGCGTGGGGTGCTGGAGGGCACCGAGGTGCCCAGGGAGGCGCAGCTCCCCTGCCACTGGGCCTGGGCCCGGATCTTGTCCCTCAGCTGCTCTAGCCGGGGGTCTCTCTTTCTGGGCTGCCGCTGGTGGCCCGGAGCCTGGGGCGGCCGCTCCCTCCAGGGCCCTCGGGGAGGGAAGCAGGGTTCATGGCCACCAGAGGAGCCTGAGAGGCGGCCCGATGACACGGAGGACGCGGAGCTGCCCCCGTCCTGGTCTTCCTGGCCTGCGGTCCACGTGGGCGGGCTGGGGGTCCTCACCCAGGACCCAGGCTCCTCCCTGCAGTCAGGCCAGGCCTCAGGAGGGACTGCCCGAAATGGCCCCGGCCGCCTCAGGGCATCCATGAGCTCATGTTTAGCCGCAGGGAGATGGAGTCTGTCTTCCCTGGGAGGACAAGGAGCAGCTGGTTAGGCTGGAGGCCAGGCGGCCCTGGCCACGCCGCTGTCTTACCGCATGAGGGACCCAGCAGGGACCAGGCGGCTGTGCTGACCTTGTCCTTGGAGACAGAAACCAAGGCTGGGTGCCAACAGCTCACACCTAGCATCTCAGTTAACCCAAAGGGACTAAAACCTGGAGGGTCTCAGTTCAAAGCCAGTTTGGGCAGAAAAATGCTGGAGTGGACATGTGGCTCAAGAGGTAAAGCACCAGCCATGAGAGAAAATAAAAACCAAGTGAGAATGCAAAACTCTGTGCGGAAGCCTTGGTACTGGCACGTACACATGCACGCACACATGCACACATACTCATGCAATGCACATGCATGCACGTGCACACACACACACACACACACACACACACAAAACTACAAATATGATCAACCCAATTTACAGATGGGAACACTAGAGGTGCCCAGCAGGGCAGATCTGGGCTCCAGGCGCCTGTGCTCAGCCGCCTCCTCCTGCCTCAGCCTGGTGGCTAGCCGGGCCGTCCCGTGCTCACCACTGCGCTGACACAATCCAGACAAGCACTACCTGGGCCCGACGCTGCCCTTCCCTCGGGCGGCTCTCCCCAGGGAGAGGAGGCTGGGCCAGCTCTCGCTCTGGCAGGGCTGTGGTACCACGCCCACGGGCACTGGCAGCAGGTCCAGGACGGGGGCTGGCATGCTGGTTTGGTGGAGGCCGGTGAGTGCACAGAATGAGCCCAGCCACCACCGGGCCCAAGGCGGATTTCACATCACGGCCTCCCTCCGAGGCCGCTGCTCAGCAGGCACCACTCAGGATGCACCGGCGCCGCCCAACCCTGGCTGCTGGCCTGTGCCGACGCCCTGGTCCGAGGGGCAGCCCTCCCGAAGGTCATGGGTAGTGGGTGGGGATGACAGGCACAGGCTGCAACCGGAAGTAGCTCCGGGGCTTCCTCTCGTCTGCCCCTCACAGGACGGAGAGAATTCCAGGGGGCCATGACAGCATAATCACCCATGTCACTCAGCGACAGCAAGGCCTCCAACCCCCCCTCCAAGCCGGGGCTCAGAACAGCGCCCCCGGCGCTGCCTGACGAGGAGCCCCGCTCGCTTGCTCTTCCCTGCCACACCCCCGGAGGCCTCTGGTCACCTTCGTGACGACCCAGGAGGGTGCCATGGCGGGAAGGATACGGCTCTGCGGTTGGCCTGCCCTGGGTTCAGCATTGGACCAATTCGCTGAACCAATCCCAGCTCAGCCCCAGCCCCCAGGGTAACCTTGGGCACTGGGCCCCGCCCGCCCCCACCCACCCTGAGGATTGTGAAGCGCCAGGTGGCTTGGCTCTGCCACCTCCTCCCTGCCGGCCGCTGGGGTGTGCACTGGACCAGACGTCCTGCCGGGAGTGGGCATCGCCCACACCACAGAGCGAGGGGCTACTGCCCCCAAGGTGGTATGGAGAATGCCCAGAGCTCCTCTGCCTCTTCTCCTTGTCTTCTCTCTGTTAGCAGGGCTGGGGCCTGGGGCTCACACCGCCCCAGCCCTACCTCAGCCTTTTTCTGACTTCAGGAAGATACCCCAGATGCCTGTGCGCGGAGACCAAGGAGAGACCTGCTAGAAACGGGGGGTGCCGCCCCTTGCACCCCTCCAGTTTCCCCAGCCTTCCAACAGCCAACATTTTGGCCCACAGCAGGGCCCCAGTCCCAGTCCAGGCCCCAGAGCAGACCCCCCAGCCAGACGCAGCCTCTGGAACAGCAGGAGCTCGCTGGCAGTGCCTCTGCCCTGCTGGAGCCAAGCTCTCCTGCGCCACGCGGACGCCGCCCGCGAGGCTGAGCCGGAGCGGACCCACCCGTGTGCTCCTCCAAGACCTTGTGAGACCTTTTCCCAGGGAAAAGCCCGAGGCGGCCAGCGAGCCCTCCACAGTTTGCAAGAGGCGTGTGGCCTTCTAGACCCTTCAAACACGTGCTATACCCAACGGGCAAGGGCCTGTGGGCGCGCTGGCGGGGACTGCGCCTCACTGCCCACCCCGGGCTGACCTCGCTGGGCCACTCCAGGCAGCAGGCCCAGCACATTTCAGGAGCTCAGGGACAGCAACACGTGACTAGATGTCCCCCATATCACCTGGGAGCCCGGACATGTCAGGGCCGCCCTTGGGGCTCCTCTAGCTCCCCGAGTCCCCCTGTCCTCAGGTCTGGGTGGCCCCTCTGAGGCCATGAAGAAGGGCACCTAGGTAGGCCCAGCGCCATAGCCCTGCGCCATCCAACCACCAGAGGCCCGGTCCCTTCGGATGCTCACTCCGCCTTGTTGGCCCCTGGAGCCATTGGGGTTCTGGGCTCCTGGCTCTGACCCCTAAAGAGAGAAGACAGGAGAGAAGCGAGCTGGCCAAGTCCCCCCAGCCTGCAGGCCGGCTGCTCTGTCTGTCTGAGGAGGACCGCGGATGCTCAGCTGTTCCTGCCAGGCATTCAGGGCCCCGCTGTCTCCAGAAGACACCACAGCACAGAGGGAGGCAGCGCTGCCTGCAGAAAGAGCAAGGTTAGCAGGAGGTGCAGCTCTGCGGTAAAAGGGCCTGCCTGGCAACTGTGAGGCCCTGAGTTCAAATCCCAGCACTGTCCAAAAAAAGAGAGGGCAAAACAATGAAAACCAAGGCTGGTCCCCTCAGTCCCTGGCACAGACTGCCCGTCCGGCCCAGGACGGCCACACAGGCTGGCTAGCTGGGACTCAGCACTGCGTCTCCCTAAAAACCAACAAGACTCCTAGGAAGCCACGGAACTCACAGAAGAACGGGGCACCCACCTGGCAGTGCCCAGCCAAGCCCACTCCCCCGCAGGCCAGGCTGGGGGTCCATGCCGTCTGGGGGTCCATGCCGTCCGGGCCTGCCCGGCCCCTGGCACAGGCTAGGTCCTCTCCCTCAGCTCCACCTTGTGGCGTGTGGACCTCCAGCCTGGCTCCCTGGGCACAGGCAGACCCTGCCATTCTCAGCCTCCCCCTTCCCCTCTCTGTGACGTGTGACCTGGACCTCCACCCTTGGACGGTCAGATCCCTGTCTGCCCCCGCCCCTGGGGCTGGAACCCAGCCTGGCTGGCTACTAACATTGGATCACAGAGAGCCTCTGTGGACTTGAGCCTGTGCTGTCCAGCCCTGGGTCAGCCCTGGGGGGAGGGGACATGGGAATCAGCTTGGACAGGCCCAGGTCCTGGCAGAGCTGCTCCTGTGCTCTACCAAGGGCCCAAGAGCAACACCCGTGTCCTCAGGGCCACACGGAGCCAGGGGTGGCTTCTTGGCAGGGAGGAAGTAGGAAGGAAATCCAACAGAGCGGTGCCGGTGCTCACCCCTGCAATTCCAGCTCCTCAGGAGGCTGAGGTCTGAGCCAGCCCAGGCAGGAAAACCCTGACAGTCCTGTCTCCACTTACCTAGTAAAAAGCTAGCAGTGGAGCTGTGGCTCAAGTGATAGAGCACTAGCCTTGAGGAAAAAAAACAACAACTGAGGGACAGTGCCCAGGCCCAGAGTTCAAGACTCAGGCTTTGCGTGCGTATCACACTCTCTCTCACACACACACACACACACACACACACACACACGGGTGCACACACACACACACACGGGTGCACACACACACACATGGGCACGCACACACACACACGGGTGCACACACACACACACACGGGCGCACACACACACACACACACACACGGGCGCACACACACACACGGCGCACACATGCCAACACAGTAGCATGCACTCTGACACCGGGCACGGCAGGAAAGCGGGGCCAGGCCCTGGGGCAGCTGTCTGCTTCCCAGCGGAGGCCGGCCGCAGCGCTCCTCACCCCTTAGCGGGGCTCCCGAGGGGTCAGACAATGCCGGAGACCAGGTACTCACCTGGCTATACACAGAGGAAGAAAAGAAGGGCAGGGAGCCCCACGGCACCACCTCAAGATCCACCCCAGAGCCCATGCTGCGGCCAAGCTGACCCCTGCCTGGTAGGCCGGCATGGGCACCGCACAGGCAGGGGCAGGGAGGGAGGGGGAGGCAGCCCACCCGCCCCGCCAGCGGGGGAGGGAGCGGGGAGGGTGTTTGTTCTAAGGGGTGACATTTGTTTATTCTCACCGCCTTGGCGCTGGAAATAAACCCAGAGCAGGTCCTGGCAGGCTGGGCAGCCAGGGGGCCATGAAGGGGAAACGGGCACGGCCCTCCCTGCTGCCAGTCCGCAGCAACGGGCCTGGTGTCCTGGTGTTGGCATGGCACCCAACTGCCACCCTGTCCACCCAACCAGCCAGCCAGACCCCAAAGCCGCAGCATCGGATGCCCAGGGAATGGAGCCTTGGGGCACCTGCAGCTGCCCGCTCCCCGCCCCTGGGGAGAGCACACAGAAGGGGAGGCCTGGGCCCTGTGGTGAAAGCATAGACCCCGTGGAGACACACAACACACACACATGTGACTCACAACACACTGCACACAATACAGCACAGCACACACACACCGCGCACATGACACATAACATGGCTACCACAAAACACACGCTACACACACAACACACATTGCACACTAAACACAATACCACAGTACACACACGGACAAAGCCAGACACAAACCAGCTCAGGCTGCTCCCCGGGGGGGGGGGCTCACTGCTGCCTCCAGCGGGCCCTGGGCCTGACGCCAAGGTGGCAGACACAACGCGGGAACACAGTGACGCAATAAATGGCCATTTGGGTGCTGTGGGGGAAGCCAGAACGGCACGCAGAAAGGGTACAACGAGGCAGTGCTCAATCACAGGGACACACCAGTCATGGCGCACCCCTTTAACCCAGCACTCAGGAGTCTACAGCAGGAGGATTAGACGTCTGAGGCCAGCCTGGGCTACATAGTAAGACTGTCTGAAAACACCAAAAACGAATACAAATTAAACAGTAAGCCATGCAGGCAAATACGTGCTCGCCCTGGAGCCCTGGACACTGCAGGAGGAGGTGCTGCATTTGGGAAATGTAGCCACAGCCACCATCAAGCTCCAGCCTGGTCCAAGCTCCTCCACCGCTGGCTATGCAGCGGAGTCCCCCCACCCCCGGCAGGGGCCCAGGCCCACCCAGGCCAGGCCAGGGCCACCCTGGGGGCAGTGTCCACTGACCTGCCTTCCCCATGGGGCTCCTGAGCTGGTCCCCAGGCCACGCCTACACAGAGGCCAGGTGACCGGGCACCCCGATACTGCTCACTGCACCCACCTGCCCCTTGCCAGGACTTCCTGAGGAGCCTGTGGCTGCTGACCGGGCAGCTCCCGGCCAGAGACTGGATCTGTGGAATCAGCCATGGCATGGATACCTCATCCCCGGGGACTCAGCCCCCAGGCCCTGGGGCGTGGGTACCCTGTCCCTGGGGGTCTGAGCCCGTTACCCTAGGGTGTGGCCCTCTGCCCTTCCACAAGCCTTCTGTTACTCTCTGACCCTGATGTGATGGGGGAGCTTCTAGAAGGACAGGCCAGCCAAGGAGCCGGCCCTATGTCCACTGGGTGTTAGGTGCAGCGTGTCGGGCAGAGCTGGGCACTCCAGGCCCGTCCAGCCGTCCTCTTCCATCTCATGGTGGAGGCGATTGCTTGCAGATGCAGAGCACAACCTCAGCCCACTCGGAGCCGGCTGGCTGGGCAATGTCTGGTCTCATTTTACCAGTGGGGAAACAGAGGCAGGTCCATTGGATGCCAATCAGGCTTGGCCTGAGCTCAGAGGGTTAAGGAGAAGACTCGAGTCTATGTGTCCATCCATCCGTCTGTGTGTCCATCCTCACTACCCCCTCTGTCCCGCGCTCATTCCCTTCCTCCAAGGGGTCTGGGCAGACTGGGTAGGGTTCAGGAATGCCCTCCACCACCAGGTACTCACCAGCTGGAAGGCCAGAGGGCGCGGGGTGAAGAGCCCCAGAGCCGGCACTCTCTGTAGGCTGGAAGTGGGCAGCGAGACGCGGGCGGGTGCGGGAGGGTGCGGGAGGGAGGTGGAAGGAAGCCAGCCTGCCCCACCCAAAGGTTGCCAGGAAACCGGCAGTGCCAGTGCAGGCTCCGCCCCGCCCCCCCAGCCTCACCCGCGCTGGGACACCTGGGACTCCCCGCCCCCATGGGCCCCACAGGTGGAGAAGGCAGAGAGTAGGAGGGCTCTGGACCGCGTGAGGGTGAGGGGAGGGGGCAGGGCTCCGAGGGAGGGGTCCAGGGCCCACCCAGCTCTTGTCACCTGCCTGTCTCCTTTCTAAGTCCTCACCGCCTCCCCTCCCAGCTTGCTTGCCCCTCCAGCATGCGGCTGGAGCACTGGAGGAAGGGGCTGTGGAGGAGTCAGAGACCTGGTGGGGGCCGAAGCCCCAGTCAAGCAAGTGCAGGGCTCAAGTGCAGGGCTCTCCTTATAGCCACTGGAGCTGCAACCTGCAGGGGGGCGGGGGGGGGAGGCCATGGGGCCAAGGCTGCTGGCCTAAAGTCTTGCCTGGCCACCCCCTCCCCCCCCCCCAGGCCTTGGGTCTCAGATGAAATAACCTGCAGCTCCGGCTGCTGTCCTTGAGGGCTTTTTGTTTCTTAATGTGGTTCTGAGGAATTGAAACCAGGACCTCATGCATGCTAGGCAAGCACTCTACCACTGAGCCACCTTCCCAGCCCCACCCCACTCTGTTTTTTTTTTTTTTTTTTACCAACAGCTACTTCCAGTTTAAAAAAAAAAAAAATTGGAGATAGAGAGTCTCAGGGGCTTTCCGGACTGGCTTTGAACCACAATCCTCAGATCTCAGTCCTGAGTAGGTGGGATTATAGGTGTGAGCTACCAGCACCCAGTTCCCATGGGTGCTTTGATGTGGGTTTTTCAATGTGGGGTGCTAAATAATGTGTGTGAAGGCTCGTTGCGTCCATTCTCTGCCCCAGCTCCAAATGCAGTTGCCTATTGCCCAACAGGCTAGGAGTCTCTTTTGGGAGACGTATCTGAAGGGTCCTAGCTGGGTAATCCCAGCTACACCTGTAATCCCAGCTACTCAGGAGGCTGAGATCTGAGGGTCAGCCTGGGCAGAAAAGTCCATTAGATTCTTACCTCCAATGAACCACCAGGAAAATGGAAGCGGCGCTGTGGCTCAAGTGGTAGAGCACTACCTTGTACAAAAAAGCTCAGGGATGGAGCCCAGGCCCTGAGATCAAGCCCCTCCACCCCATGCCTGCATTCACATGCGTGTGCACGCGCACACTCACGCACACACACACAGGCATAGCAGGGTCCTCCCACACACGAATCACACCAGCAGGGGGCACCCTCTCCCCACTTCAGCCTGCTGTCACCCCGCAGGGAGCCGCTGCAGGGGCTGCCTTCAGCTCCAGTCCAAGAAGAAATGACCCTCATATCCCTAGGCCAGGCGCTGGTGGCTCACGCCTGTCACCCTAGCTACTCAGGAGGCTGAGATCTGAGGATCACAGTTTGATGCCAGCTCAGGCAGAAAGTTCCTGTGAAACTCATCTCCAATTAAACATTTGAAAACAGAAAGGGGTGCTGTGGCTCAAGTGGTAGAGTACTAGCCACGAACACAGAGAGGCTCAGGGACAGTGTCCAAGCCCCGAGTCCAAGCCCCATAACCGATTAAAAAAAAAAAGTTTCAAAAAAAATTCCAGGAAAAGTCGTTTGTCAAGAAACTCCTCAAGCTGGGCACCCATGAGCTGGTGGCCTGATATCCCACGAGGCTGAGGCTGCGGGGTGACTCAAAGCCGGCCTGCGCAGAAATGTCCATGAAACTCTTGGCTCCAATTGACAGGCAAAAAAGCCAGAAGTAGAGCTATGGCTCAAGTGGTAGAGCATCTGCCTTGAATAAAAAAAGCCAAGCAAGAGTGAGAGATACCACACACACACACACACACACACGGAAGGAGGGAAGGAAGGAAGAAAGAAAGAAGAAAGAAAGGGAAAGGAATAAAGGAAAGGGAAGGAAGGAAGGAAAGAAAGAAGGAAGGAAGGAAGGAAGGAAGGAAGGAAGGAAAGAAAGAAGGAAGGAAGGAAGGAAGGAAGGAAGGAAGGAAGGAAGGAAGGAAGGAAGGAAGGAAGGAAAGAAGGAAGGAAGGAAGGAAGGACAGAAGGGAAACTAGGTGTTCAGGAAATTTGGACTTGGGGGCCAAATTTTGGGGGGGGAAGGCAGCCTTGCTCCGGGGTAGTTGGGGGGTTCTGCCCCTAGAGGCAGCATGAGGCAGGCCCCACGAGGGACCCAGTGGTGTCACTTTACAGCAGAGCGGGCTGGAGGTTGCTCCACGCTGGGCAGACCTAGACATGGTGCTCCAGCTTCGTGGACCTGCCTGGGGCTAGGAAGAGTCTGGTTATCCAAGGCAGGGGCCCCACACGTCCAGTACCCAAAGATGATGTTCTTGCCTGTGGCTGGGGCTCAGGGTACACTGCTTCTGGGCGCTGGGCTCACAGGTTGACTTGGCACTGGTGTCAGGGAAACAAGGAGAAATACGTTCACCAAGCAAGGGCAGTGCCCAGAGCCCCAGGGAGGAGCCAGGGTTCCTGGGCCCACCCCATCCCAGGGGATGACCCAAGACAGCAAAAGCAAGACCTCAGTGCCCGGGCACCTCTGCTCATGAATGGAATGGTGCCCAGCATCGGTCCCACGGCACGAGAACACTGCGCCCACACAGCGGCTCCAGCAGGCTCTGTTGGGCTCGGGTCCGTCATGTCTCCTGTTCTGGTCTCTGGTCTCCAGCCAGTGGCTTCAGGACCCCTGGGGAAGGACAGAAGGCCTCCAACGGGCAGCGATGCGGCTGAGCACGCTCCCACAGCCGCGGCTCCCAGCAGCACTTTGCACACCTGCTACAGACACAAGCGGCGCCTAACTGACTCCCTGGACTAACCACAGAGAATGTGCAGCTCAGGAGAATGTTCCAGAATCTTCTGACCCAGTCCACAGTGGACTATTTCCTCGCACAACGGACACCGCAGGGCTCCCCAGGATCTTTCTGAGCCATGTCTACTCTGGAGAGTCCAACACTTGGCCGAGAGGAGCCTTTTCCTGCCTCCTCGCAGCGCCCCCTCTTTCCGGCTTGCCTCTGGGCCTGGTTTGTGCACCCCCCAGCAGCCCGCGGGCGGGGCACACGCCAGAGGTACTGGTGCATTAGGGTGCCTGCGTGGCCGAGCTTTGGTGGCTCAGGCCTGTAATCCTAGCTACTCAAGAGGCCGAGATCGTAATTCACAGACAGTCTAGGCTAACCAATCTGAGAGACCAGCAAAAAGCCAGAAGTAGAGGTATGGCCCAAGTGGTAGAGTGCCAGCCTCAAGCCAGCCAAACAATATCCAAGGCCCTGAGTTCAAGGCCCAGGTACCAATATCCACAGAAAAAGAAAGAAAGGAAAGAAGGGAGGGAGGGAAGGAGGAAAAAAGGGAGGGAGGAAAGCAGGGAGGGAGGAAAGAAAGAAAGGTGTTAGGTTTTTAAAAAGAGGTAGCCGAGTAAGAACTACACCATGCATGTGGTATTTAGGTAAGGGGTAGGTTTATTCATTGTTCTGGCTGGCACCAGGCCATGTTGGCCCTCCACGCGGCTGAGAAAGGCCTGGGAAAGACCTGGGAAAGAGGTGGAAAAGAGCTGGGAAAGAGAGAGAGCTGGGAAAAAGAGCATCTGGGCCTGGGCTAGGCCTTATCTAGGGTATGGAGAAAGGTGTGGCCACATCAAATTCAGATGTGACCTCAGCGGATGCAGATGTGACCTCTTCCAGGTGTGCCAGTTGCCTAGGTAACGCAGGTACTGGGTGGAGATTTTGCTGCGAGGAGGGTGGAGTCTGCTCGGGAGGGATGGAGGAGGGAGGAGGGAAGTGAGGGAGGAGGGAAGGAAGGAAGGGAAGGAGGAAGGAGGAAGGAGGGAAGGGAGAGAGGAAGGAGGGAAGGGAGAGAGGAAGGAGGGAAGGGAGTGAAGGGGAGGAAGGAAGGGAGGAAGGGAGGAAAAAAGGAAGGAAAGGAGGAAGGAAGGGAGAGAGGGAGGCAGAGAAGGAGGAAGGGAGGAAGGAGGGAAGTGAGGGAAGAAGGAAGGGAGGAAGGAAGGGAACGAGGGAAGGAGGGAGGGAGAAAGGGGGGAGGAGGAAGGAAGGAAGGGAGAAGGAAGGAAGGAAGGAGGGATGGAGGAAGAGGGGGGAGGAGGGAGGAGGGGAGGGAGGGAGAGAGGGAGGGAGGGAGGATGACATAGCACACAGTCATCTAACTTGTGTTGCTTCTTGAGAAGCCCAGTGCATGCCAAGCTGGAATGACTCCACACAGTCCAGAGAGCTCTACCCACAAGGCAGCGACATGGGCGTGCTGCAAGGACCTGGCAGGCGTCGGCAAAGGGGATGAGCAGAGGCTGGAGATGGCTGGAGTAAGAGGGAAGCTGGGCGCCTGCAGGGCGGGGCGAGCCAAGGACAGGGACCGAAGGGGAGGACGTCACCCAAGCAACAGCTGGGTTTAGACATGGAGGAGCGGCCAGGATGGGGACCGCAAACGGCCCCATGCCTCTCCTGACACCTTCCCTGAGAAGGGACCGGATCATTGAGAGCCCAGGGCTGAGCTGGCCACGGGACGCGGTCTCTAGGGTCAGGCCAGGTTAGGCTGGCCAGAGGACCACGTCCCCAGCTACAGAGTCCCTCTGTCCCTCCTCGGAAGAGGAAAACACATCAAAAGAAACCACCGGTTCAAAGTGCCAGTTCTTATTTCCTGGACGTAAAATGTGCCGGTGGCCTGAAGATCGGCGACCGTTTTTGCCGCGCTGGGCCAGCCGGGAGGCCGAGCCAGCCGCCCTGGGCACGGAAGGCAGGTCGCAGGAAGGAAGCCACGCGCGCCATCTGGACCACTTCCTGGGTGTGTGTTTCCTCCACCGGTGACAATGTCATCGTGCTTCGTTGTGTTAGGTCTGAGCAGTGATCTCCCACTTTGGTGGTGTCTTTTTCCAATAAAGTAAGGATTATGGGGGAAGGG